ATTGAGTTCCATAGATCTCTGAGGCAGTAAGTCTAAAAAACATTCATCCCTCTGTTTGCCGCGGTCCCGGCAGTCCTCCTCCGCCCACTGTCTCCAGCGTGGCTGCGAAGGAGACGTCACAGACGGGGCAAGCGTGGGGGGCGGTGAGCAAGGCTTAGGGCTGCTTCCGCGTTCCAGCCTAGGAAATCAGACCTACTGCAGCTTTCGGATCATCCATGGAGTCCTTCAACCTTCTCCTCCCGGGGCATCAGTGCATCGAGTGCGTTCGGGGACGGTGGCGGGGTGGTGGAGTTAACTCTGCCAACCCGAGCTATCCAATGCTGGATGATGCTGCCTCATCCCTCCAAACAATCTGCCCGGAGGCCACACCACTTCTTAGGGTTGCTCTCCAGAAAGTACGTTCAACTGGAAATAAAACAGCCATTTTAGGGGATTATTTTGTCGATCACAAGGTAAACCTGTTCTGCATGACGGAGTCCTGGGTCGTGCCTGGTGAGTTGGCTGCTCTCTCAGAGCTTTGTTCCTCGGATTGTTCAGTGTTCAACGTGCCTAGACTTTCCGGTCGTGGTGGGGGTCTACTAACTCTGTTTGATTCTACCCTCCACCTGAAACAACTCTCGGCCTCTGTGACTCCTAATAGCTTCGAATTATAACTTTTTGAGCTGGATTTTAGCTCCCCAGTATTGTTCTTACTTTTCTACGGCCCACCAAAGTACAATTCTAACGTTTTAAATGCATTTTCTGACATTTTAGCAGAGTTTCTCCTGAAATGTGACAGAGTGATTATTCTCAACGATTTTAAAATTCATACCGTAAATCCTCTAATACAGGCCCGGGTCTGTATTTGACTCAAGCTCATCAAGTTCCAGGCCTTTATTGGAAGGAGGGCCAGAATTAGAGGCAGACCTCAATTTCTATTTGAGCAAAATGAACTAATGGTTCGCTGGAGTTTTTGACAATTAAAATTGCGCCCACATTTTCAAAGTTAAACACATTTCTTTTAACAATGGTAGTTTCTGCTTCAGCCATCTCCCCCCTCCCCCTGCTTCAGCCCTCTCCCCCCTCCCCCTGCTTCAGCCCTCTCCCCCCTCCCCCTGCTTCAGCCCTCTCCCCCCTCCCCCCGCGCAGCGGCCGCAAACTCACTGATGCGCCTGCAGCCTCTCAGAGTTCCTGCTGCTCTAAACATTAAAATAATTATTTCATTTTCTGTTCCTCACTTCTGATGACCTTCAGTGGTGTCTGTTTGTTGCAACCAGCAGGTACAAAAACTAACTTGTTTTTATTTGACTATTTTTCTGTCCTGCCTGTTTATTATCTTCCTGCATCTCCTCTCAGTCCTAAAGAGAAACTGCTACCTGGGTTCATATATATTCACCTCATGAGTTACCTTTGAACTGCAGTTCTAAAAGATCTACCGACCGCTAAAACAGCGGAGTTCTCGCCGGCCACATCAGTTAGGTGCGTCACCGAGGACAAAACAGGTGATGCGCCCTGCTCCACAGCAGCGAAACGCATCAGGCACAGATAAAAGAATAAAAGACAGAAAGCATAAAAGGAAATGGGCCGACATGAATGATCGCGTGTTAAATTAGTTTTTGAGGTGGCGACACCTGATGTGATAATGTTACCGTGGCCGTGCTCAGGACGCAGATCTACCGACCGCAAAAACAGCGGAGTGCTCGCTGCTTGGCGGCCGCATCAGTGATCGGTGCGTCACTGGATGACAAGGTGATGCGCCCCGCTCCACAGCAGCGAAACACATCAGGCGCAAATAAAAGACAGAAAACATTAAAGTAAATGAGCCGAAATGAACGATCGCGTGTCAGTACCGACGCTCTGGCACAGCGCGTTGCCCCCCCACACACCCCCGAGCGCAGGAGCTTGTCACCTGCTGACAGCAGGCTGCTGTCTTTTCCGTGGACTGCATCTTGCCGGTCATTATCACGTGACAGCGACTAGTCGATGACAGGCATAACAAGTTACTATAGAGCGGTGAGGTCGACTAGTGACTAGTTCATACAACCCCTGCTACTGCTCCCCAGAGTGTTCTGCAGCATAATCAGCACGTTCTCTTTGAACTTGATATCAAATTTTTGCCTCCTCTTCGTCTCCGCATGGTTAAAGTTACCCTCGCGGTCTATCACTGGCCAATCAAAAGTGAGACGATGACACAACCGCCCCCGTACTTGCTTGTTACCACATTCCACCCGGCAACAATAAAAAAACGGCCGTTATTCACCTCCGCCGACTCCGACACCGGCCAAAATATGAGACCCGGCCGTTAATTGAATACAGGCTAATATTAGAGGATTTACGGTATCTATAGTCCTGCAAAGCCTTTGGTGAGGGAGTTCATGGACATATTGGATTGTTTTGGCCTCCAGCAACCGGTTAAGGAGTCTACCCATGATCGCTCTCACATCCTGGATTTAGTTTTCTCTATCGGAATTTAAATTTCTGACCTTTCAGTGAACCCAGTTTGTTTTTCAGATCATTTTCCAATTATTTTCAACATCTGTGATTTGACACCTTCCACTGTAAGACATCAAGCACATCATTACGTCAGGTGTATTTTTCGCCATCTACTTTCTTTAGCTGAGCTACCAAAGGATTTTGACACACGGTCAAAACCTTAAGCTTTTGCACCTGCAAAGCTGAGGACAACAGAGATTTTTCCTGCAGAACAAAGCTGATTTTGCAACACTCCTTCAGAGATGTTTTGAGACGCTTGGTTTCATCCAGTCCACCCATGTTACCTGGAGCGATCCTGGACCGACCTGGTGGTACTAGCAGTTAGTCTACGGACTTCTGTACCCGGGGTCTCCAACCCCCCGACATCTCGGATCCACAAGGTGTCACACCCTGTCCTGTCTCCCCTTATGGTTTAGTCATGTGTCTCTGTTAATTGCTCCCTACGTGCATCTCGTTTTCCAATCACCCAAGTTCCCAACCCTCTTGTAGTTAAACCCCTTCAGTTCTTTGTCTGGTGTTGGATCATTGTTTCTGTGTCAGCGTGTTTATCATCAAAGCCTTTAACCGTTCCTGTCTGCCTGCCTTCTTCACCCGTGTTTGGATCCTTACCTCCGCTTCGCACTCCAGCACGTCTGACACAAGGGCGCCTCCACTTGGGCACGTAGAACCCAGTGAGATGGCGTCTGTATGCAGGTCGATAAGAACAGCTTACAGCTCAGATGCAAACCAAATTCTTTTATTTTCCAGAACTCTCCTCTCTCTGAGATGCGGAGATTTTGACTCTGAAATACTAAATTCACGCCTAGTTCCAGACGCCCATCTCTTAGTTTGCATCCACTCACAGTAAATAATAGTTTAAACCATTTGTCAAGGCTTAAACTTGTTTGTAAATAGATTCTTATTTGTTTGCAAACACTGACGGGTCCTTGAATCAAAGCGAAGTGTGACGATCCCTTAATGATTAAAAGAATCCTAGAACCTTCTCATTAATCATCCTAAGACCAAGCAAGGTGATCTTCTCTAATAAGAGTATTACAGCTATCGGTCACAAAGTAATGAGAATAGAAATAAGTAGCTCTTAATAGCAATTTATTTCATCCAATTTACCCTCCACTGACTTCATTACACGTGTGAGCACATGACTCGTGAGATTTGCTCTGTGAGGAAGCCGTACGGTTTGAGCTGAAGCTGAACGCTACAAGTGAAAAAGTCGCACAGTGTCCGCCCGGCTTTAAACACCAGCTGCTGGTCTCAGAGCTGCTGAATCCTAGAACCTTCCGGTCTGGGAACTGGTCCGAGTCAGGAACTGACACATTTGATGTCTTCTGATTTAATAGTTGTTTATTCAAACTAACAAGTACAGCAGCGGTGCAGCTATTACTTTCTGTTTCTTAGTTGAATTAGCAGACTCCGTGCTTCCAAGGCGCACTGCTGCCCTCTGCTGGTTCTTTCAGGTTACAGTCATAGTCCAAACGGGTCAAGTGGAGCTCGTATGTCCCTCAACAGCTACTGTATTTCAAGATGGTGGATGACCAAGGAGCTTGACCACAGTTTATTTTATTTAAAAATGTATAATTTCAAGTTGAGAGGAATAATTAGAATTGATGTTGGTGAGAAATATTCGTGAACAGGGACACGTTTGTGAACACAGGATTTGATAGGAAACGGGTAAAAATATCACACACTGGGCCTTTAATTCAAAAAGCACTGATTCTGCTGTGGACAGCGCCACCTTGTGGCTAGGCCTGTTACTGTTAAGTATTTAATGTGCAGCACTTAGGTCAGCTGCCATGCTGTTTTATAAATGCTTCATGTGGAGGTTCCTCCAGCCATTCCTCAGTGTTAGTATTATTTATTTTTTCCACATGCTGGTTTATTTCATTTTGTTGCAATATTGTAAGATGTTTACTAATGGGTGCACACATTCAGTAATTTATCTTATACACAGTTTATGTGATCTTTAACTATTTTCATTTGTATTCTGAGATTGGATGAAGTGGCAGAGAGGGGACACGCCCGGTGTAACTCCAGGCAGGAAGTGGAACATTCCATCTGGCTCCTGGAAGCAGGGGACTTGATCATGAAGAAACCAGAAACCAGACGTTCTGAAGCTCTATTGAGTTTACCAGATTTTGTTAGGATGTATTAGTTAAACTTTTTTTGTGGTAGTTATACTTTGTTGACTTAGTTTCCTAGGTTTATTTACTGTTTGTCTTAGTGTTGCCCCTGTCTCTCCCCTCCTCGTTGTCTGTAGGCTAGCCTGTGTGTATAAATTCCCCTGTGCGTCTCAGTTTGGAGAGTCTTGCTTGTTACTTTTAGTTAAGGTTATTTTCTGTGGCCATTTTTTCCTTTGGGCCCAGTTTTTGTTTTGATTTTGTTTAATTCTTTATGAAATAAATGGAGAAGTTATTCTTTTTAAACCATTGTCCTGGAGTTTTACCGCTCGGTCCCTGACACTTCATAAATAAAAATAAAAGACTTGTGTTGGTAAGTTGAAGGAAAGCCAGAGAGTGAGACACACACGTGACTGTTTTTGTTACAACACAGACATTGAACACATTTTTATTTGAGCAGGTTGATAGAAACATTAACCATGAAACACAAACAGGTTTTCTGAATGCATCTCAGTGGTACCGGAGTAAAATGTACACATTTAAAATGCTGTGCCAGGGTTTTTATTAAGGCACATGTGCAATGATGCTGTTCTAATGTGGGTCCTGATCACCTGTTCGCAGGTAAACATGCAGAACCAGGACGAGGTTTATTGTTGTTACACTCACAATGACTTTGCTTTGGTGCTTAGTGCAGGATGCAAACGTTTAAACATAAAAACGTTCAAATGTGCAACGTGTTAGATCAGCTGAAGCTGCAGTAAACTGTATCAGGATGCGGGGGCTGCGCAGACACAGAGCAGCCCAGCTGCAGCTGGTTGTTGTTCTGGAGGAGCTCAGCCTCCTCCCAGAGGAGAGAGCCTTAACAGGATGAGCCCAGGGTGGGGGGTTAGGGTCAGACACAACCACACAGGCCCTGTAGGAAGGGCTGGTTCTCTGCCCAATGAAAAACACGCCAGAGCTTAACTTTTAGGTTATTGTGGGTTCACACTGGAGCACAATTATACACACAGACTCACACTGTGGCAGAGCACACCTGAGGCCGATGGCCAATCACCAGCAGGTGCTTCAGAAGCACAGACGCTGGAGACGGAGGGAAAGACTGAAAGGAGAGAAGAGTCTGGTGGCCCTGAGACCTGGGACGAGTGCCGGGAGAGCGTAGGTCAGACCAGGAGAGTCTAATGAAGAGTGGAGCCTGCAAACGGTGTGGGTGAGCCCGCTGTAGCTGGTGTAGTGCTACACACACACATATTCATACATGTACCTAAATCCAGGTGTCAGCAGCCTGGTGCCCCCAGGAACCCCCCTGGAGTGCCCATGGGCCTTTTCTCCAAATAGCACAAGTCTAAAGAAAATCATGTTTTTTATTCACAAGTGCTTTAATATAGATTTTACAACTACACTCTTGTTTAAAACAACATTAAAATATGTTTAATAAGCCTGAAGTTTAGTTTAACTCTCATCTTTTCTAGTTCAAAGGTCACTATTGTATCAAGCTGGTAGCCCGTCCTGTAGCTCAGTACACCTGAGGTAGCTCTGAGCATCACAAAGGTTGGTGACCCGTTCCAGAACATCCTCTACCTCCGACGAGCTTCCTGTTAGAGGTCATGATTCTGGTACTTTCTGCTTGCAGCATCTGAAGGATGAAGAACGTTTTACACCAACCATCACTGAGAACAAAGGAACCCAGCGAGGATCTTGGGGAGAGTGGTTTGTAGCTTGACACCAGTTGGAAAAGTCTTAGGAGCCATTTTTAAACTGCTTCAGGGTCCAGGATCAGTTAACTGTACAGAAACAAGCTAAATTCAGATGTTCCACCATTTTACCAAAGCCTGAACGAGGACAACACACCACTCTCTCTGTTGGGATGTTCAGGATGCAGCAGGAACCAAGGCTTAAGCCAGAGCCTGGTTCCTGCTGGAACACCAGAGCTCATGAACAGGGAGGGTTAGGGTTAGGGATGGAGAGCTGCAGCTGTCCCCACGGACAAGACAAATGTCTTCTGGGGACAGGTTTTATGCCGAGATGAGAGGGTGGTTGAGATTTATGGACGCAGTTAGAAGAAGTCGGTTCTGTAGGAGTCTGGAGGTTTTTAGACCTGAACCAACATCCTGCCTATCCTCGGTCTGAGGACACACACCAGCTAAGGGAGGTTAGTGGGGGGGTGGTTATAGTTGAGCCTCTACACACACGTGTTTATAAAAATGACTGAGCTGTGCTGTATGATGCTTCCAGCCCAGAAAAAGAACTGTTCAACTGAATAATTAAAGCTCACATGTGTAAACACGGCACCAGGTCACGGGGAGATGGTTATTGCTGTAAATAATCCTTGCCTGTGTGACTGAGCTCTCTCTGAGGGCAGCTTTCTTCACCAGCAGTAACAATGACAGACCTGGGTTCAGATCCAACCACAGCTGAGAGGTTCTGGTCCTGGAACACGGACCTTCCAGAGACAGCAGGAGCGTTTGCTTTAACGTGTTATTCTTGCTGTTAGCACCTCTTCAGTCCACGTCCATCATAGTCAGCAGAGCTGTAAACAGCAGCGTGAGATGAATGCAGGAACCAGTCAGGAGTCCACCTGCACCGTGATCTCCTAGCCCAAAGTAGCTTTGATCAGAACTGTCTACGTCCAGGAGGGCAGCCATCCAAAGCCCTGGAATAAAGCCCGTGCGTTTGACACGTAGAAGTCCATGTTGTGAGTGAAGTCGGTGCAGATGGTGGCGTAGGTGTCCACCAGGGTGCAGTAGAGCGCAGTACCTCCAACGCTGATCACCACAGTCAGCAAGCACAGCAGAAGCAGGATGAGACAGGAATCACCTCCAACCTCATCTACAAGAGACACAGAGGCTCTTACTGCCGTGAGCTGGTGAGACGGTCTGCTAAATAAACTACGAGGTCTATGGTTGTCTTTAAATGTGGCGAGTGCACCTTGCTCTGCGCCGTCATCTGGCTCGCTGAAACGGACTTGACGTTTGGAGTGGTGTTTGTCAGAGCTGCTGCTGCTAGAGGCGGGAGGAAGTCCGTCCAGAGAGGCTCGCCTCCTCTTCAGAATGGAGACCAGGCCATCAGGGCAGCAGTTCTAGGTGACCAAGAACAAAACACGTATACATCATTATTATTCTGTGTAAATGGTTCCGTCGGTTCATGCTACACCTACGGACGCACCGATATGAAATGTTGGGCCGATACCGATTCTGCTCATTTATATTCTTATTTTTTATCTTAATTTTTCATTTTTATTATGATCTTCATGAATCTTTTTTCCAATGTTCATAATCTGTTTTTTCTAATGCACCTTGTGATTTTCATTTTGAGAGACATAGCAAAAAAATCTCTTCTATGCCGTCTTCTCCTCCTCCTTCATCATCTTCATCTCCTCCTCCTTCATCATCTTCATCTCCTCCTCCTTCATCATCTTCATCTCCTCCTTCATCATCTTCATCTCCTCCTCCTTCATCATCATCTCCTCCTCCTTCATCATCATCTCCTCCTCCTTCATCATCTTCATCTCCTCCTCCTTCATCATCTCCTCCTCCTTCATCATCTCCATCTCCTCCTCCTTCATCATCTTCTTCTCCTCCTCCTTCATCATCTTCATCTCCTCCTCCTTCATCATCTTCTTCTCCTCCTCCTTCATCGTCTTCTTCTTCTCCTCCTCCTTCATCATCTTCTTCTCCTCCTCCTTCATCATCTTCATCTCCTCCTCCTTCATCATCTTCATCTCCTCCTCCTTCATCTTCATCTCCTCCTCCTTCATCATCATCTCCTCCTCCTTCATCATCTTCATCTCCTCCTCCTTCATCGTCTTCATCTCCTCCTCCTTCATCGTCTTCTTCTTCTCCTCCTCCTTCATCATCTTCATCTTCTCCTCCTTCATCATCTTCTTCTCCTCCTCCTTCATCATCTTCTTCTCCTCCTCCTTCATCGTCTTCTTCTCCTCCTCCTTCATCGTCTTCTTCTTCTCCTCCTCCTTCATCGTCTTCTTCTTCTCCTCCTCCTTCATCATCTTCATCTCCTCCTCCTTCATCATCATCTCCTCCTCCTTCATCGTCTTCATCTCCTCCTCCTTCATCATCTTCATCTCCTCCTCCTTCATTGTCTTCTTCTCCTCCTCCTTCATCGTCTTCTTCTTCTCCTCCTCCTTCATCATCTTCATCTCCTCCTCCTTCATCATCTTCATCTCCTCCTCCTTCATCGTCTTCTTCTCCTCCTCCTCCTTCATCATCTTCATCTTCTCCTCCTTCATCATCTTCTTCTCCTCCTCCTTCATCATCTTCATCTCCTCCTCCTTCATCATCTTCATCTCCTCCTCCTTCATCATCTTCTTCTCCTCCTCCTTCATCATCTTCATCTCCTCCTCCTTCATCATCTTCATCTCCTCCTCCTTCATCATCATCTCCTCCTCCTTCATCATCTTCATCTCCTCCTTCATCGTCTTCATCTCCTCCTCCTTCATCGTCTTCTTCTCCTCCTCCTTCATCGTCTTCTTCTTCTCCTCCTCCTTCATCGTCTTCATCTTCTCCTCCTTCATCATCTTCTTCTCCTCCTCCTTCATCATCTTCTTCTCCTCCTCCTTCATTGTCTTCTTCTCCTCCTCCTTCATCGTCTTCTTCTTCTCCTCCTCCTTCATCATCTTCATCTCCTCCTCCTTCATCATCATCTCCTCCTCCTTCATCGTCTTCATCTCCTCCTCCTTCATCATCTTCATCTCCTCCTCCTTCATCATCTTCATCTCCTCCTCCTTCATTGTCTTCTTCTCCTCCTCCTTCATCGTCTTCTTCTTCTCCTCCTCCTTCATCGTCTTCTTCACAAGTTTCCATGATAAAGTATGCTACAGACAGTTTGCTTTACAAGCCCAACACTGTGTGGAGCAGCAGATGTACAGAAAGCTGTTTCACTAAGAAAGGGGAAGGAAGACAAAACCTCATACACCAAGTTTTCAGTTACGGAAATCATCTTATTGGTGTTAAAATATTATTTTACGGCTTAAACTGTGTTATTTTTGTGTGTTTTAATAACTTGAACACAAAAGAAAAAGGGGGTCATTTGGCTAAAAGGCTGAATGACAGAACAGTCCTGCTCCTAGCTCCATTGTGGCGGCGCCCTCGACCGCATCACTTGTTAGGAATGGTTCTGATTCCTCCCTCCCAGCTCAGTGTCTAACTTCATGTGTTGGATGTGGCTCATAGATCCTGCACATGCAGCAGGGAGGAGGTAGATCCTGCACATGTAGCAGGGAGGAGGTAGATCCTGCACATGTAGCAGGGAGGAGGTAGATCCTGCACATGCAGCAGGGAGGAGGTAGATCCTGCACATGTAGCAGGGAGGAGGTAGATCCTGCACATGTAGCGGGGAGGAGGTAGATCCTGCACATGTAGCGGGGAGGAGGTAGATCCTGCACATGTAGCGGGGAGGAGGTAGATCCTGCACATGCAGCGGGGAGGAGGTAGATCCTGCACATGTAGCAGGGAGGAGGTAGATCCTGCACATGCAGCAGGGAGGAGGTAGATCCTGCACATGTAGCAGGGAGGAGGTAGATCCTGCACATGTAGCAGGGAGGAGGTAGATCCTGCACATGTAGCAGGGAGGAGGTAGATCCTGCACATGCAGCAGGGAGGAGGTAGATCCTGCACATGTAGCAGGGAGGAGGTAGATCCTGCACATGTAGCGGGGAGGAGGTAGATCCTGCACATGCAGCGGGGAGGAGGTAGATCCTGCACATGTAGCAGGGAGGAGGTAGATCCTGCACATGTAGCGGGGAGGAGGTAGATCCTGCACATGCAGCGGGGAGGAGGTAGATCCTGCACATGTAGCAGGGAGGAGGTAGATCCTGCACATGTAGCAGGGAGGAGGTAGATCCTGCACATGCAGCAGGGAGGAGGTAGATCCTGCACATGTAGCAGGGAGGAGGTAGATCCTGCACATGTAGCAGGGAGGAGGTAGATCCTGCACATGCAGCAGGGAGGAGGTAGATCCTGCACATGCAGCAGGGAGGGGGGAACACGGGAGCAGAACCATGATGACCTCACACAGAGACCACTTTATGGGATTTTAAAGGCAACGAAAAGGGCTGGCCAGGATGAAGGACAAGTCAGGATTTTCTGTAGGAACTAAGTGGAGCAGAGACTAGGAAGAGGAAGGAAGTGCATTAATGCGGAGCGGTGAATGGCAGGGAAAGACAAAAGAATCAGGAAACGGAGATGAAAAAGAGGATACGGGAAGTTTTAAAATGAACGCAACAGAATCTGAGTGTTTTTTTTCTGTCGCTGTCTCCGTCAGCATTCCTCACCCTCTCTGTGTGGGAAAGTTTGGCTAGGTCTTTGTCAGAGGCTTGAGGTACTCCTGTTGGCCACTCCACCTTCACCACCTCCTCCTCTGGAGTCTCCTGCTCCTCTTCCTCCACTTCTAGTCCTTCTTCAAATGCCTTTTCTCCTCCATCCTGCTCCTCCTCTCGGCTCATCAGCGGTGAAAACAGCTCTGAGTCGGAGATGGTGCTCTGATCTTCCTCCCGTTCACACGCCTCGGGCCCGTTGGCTGACGTGAAGAAAACAAAGAGGAACATTTACTGCAGATTTAGTGCACAGGAAAAGGTTGGTGAACGGCTGAGGGTGGTGACGTCTACTCTCAACCATCACAAGGTAAATGATGCAAATGCAGAAGAGAGCAGGTGTCACTGAGCATCTGCGTCCTTGGGCAAACCTACAGACCACAAAGCCTGACTGGCCTACACCGGGAACTTTCCTAAAAAGTAAAAGCAAAAGGCTAAAAGGGTTTATTTAGAGTTAAACACGTTTAAAAACATCAAAGAAAAAGAGAAATGAAAATAAAGAACTAATTAAAAGTAAGAGAAAGTAAAAACGTATGAATGAAAAAAGTTCAAACACTTAAAAGTAGATCTATTCATATTTATTTAAAAAGAACAATAAAAGTATGACAAGTTTTTAAAAAATGGGGAAAATTTTGCAAAGTTGTAAAAATCATGTTAAAAAGTAGAACCTAACCCTAACCGTCCTCAACTAAATGTGTTGTTTGTATTTTTCTTTTTCCGTCGCCACTGTCCTTCTTCCTTTGTCTGCTGGTAGAATGATGGTGTGTTCATTTTTGGATAGGGCTGTCGTGGCTGTTGGAACGTTACCGTGTTGAGTTTTGCTGTTGTTTAATATCCCAACTACATTACGTCTCATTTCTGCTTTCTTTCCCTCATCTGTGACCTGTTGACATGCTAGTTCTGTTGCTACAATAAATCCATCATTAGGTATGTTGCTGGTGTTACTGCAAAGTTTAAACCTTTTGTTAATTTGCTTTCTTCTGCTTCTGAAAGGTTACACATCCATGACTTTTCTGTCGTTATCCTGTTTTCTTTTTTCAGTTTCGACCGAAGGCTTCAGTCTTCCTCAGAGCCTCATCCCACTCTGATAAATGGCACAACGGCAAAAGTCGGATGACGCTCTGAGGAAGACTGAAGCCTTCAGTGGGAACTGCACACAGGTGTGAGATAAACATCTTTAAATCAGCAAAAGAACATTTAGTCATTTGATTTAAAACGAAGACAAAATGAACTTTTTGTAACTTTGGTCCAAATTTTTCAACCAGTGAGTTTTTACCTTCTTTGTGACTAGACTGCAGGATGTGACGGTTCGCCTGCGCTTCCTGTTGAGTTAAACAGAGAAAACTGACTCCAAACTAAAAGTTATTAAAGATCACCAACAAACAGGACGGCTACATGTCCTACCTGGGTCACTCTCATGGCTGGTCTGAGGACAGAGAGAGAGAGGGGGGGGGGGGGTGATAGGGGAGGTGGACTCATTATTCTTATTTTCTTTTGGTGAATAGATGCTAAACAAGCCTCCAGTCACTAGGTGGCAGTAGTGACCTGACTCATCAACAGGCTGCCAGTATAAAGCAGAAGAAGAAGCTGTCTCTAAAGTCAGGCACATAAAAACAAGTGTTACTAGTGAAGCCAAGGCTAGTGAGCGGTTCCAGCCTTCCTGGGCTTGTCCAGTCATCATGACTTTAATATGACTCAACCCAGGAAGGACACTCTGTCACCTGGTGGTCCACTACAAGGATGTAAACTGGCAGACCTAGATACCAGTTTGTGTTTACCTGTGGTGAGTTCTGCAGATGTGAGCCAGTGTTTCCATGTGTTTCTGACTGATACCCTCTGTGTCAGAAGTCAGGTGTGAGTCATTCTCTCTTAGCTGGCGTTCTGGAGACAAAAATTCAATTCATTTCATTTGTTACACGTGACTTTGTTACACAAATAGAGATTTTTAAATGCATGCAGTACCCCAGTCCTCCTGCAGGGAAGCGAGATTGGAGAGCAGCCGTTCATGGTACATCTTCTCCAGCTGCAAGAAGTGGATGGCCCACTGGTCTGAGAGCATCACCAGTTGAAGAAACCACACTAGTATCGTCTTCTAGACCTTCTCCTGACTCCTGACTCCCTCTCTTTCTCCATCTGTGCCTGACTGCTCTGGATCGAACTTTTACTGGTGAGAGATGCTCGTCTCTGCTTTCTGTGTCCCCAGTAGATAAACTGTTATTGTAGGACCCACTTTGCCTCTGAAAGACTGGGTCTGCCTTAAAATGAATATCTCTCTCTGGAAGAGCTTGTTCTGCATCACAGCTCACTGGGGAATTTGCATCACTCTTCCTACCCTAAAACTGGACTCAGTCATTCGTCAGAAACTGATCATCACATCCAGCGAGTCCCTGAATGACTGAAACTGTTAAACGACTTCATTTCTCTCCTAAATAATTCCTTCCACTCATCTCAGCACACTTGACCCATAGAAACCTCCAAATGAACACAATTACTAAGGAGGCAAGGATGAGTGCTGCCTTCAGCATAAAAGTGCTGCGCCGGACACACGAGGGAGCTGGCGTGCTCACTGCTATTTCTCTTTACATGTTTATGTTTATGTTTACTTATTTAGCAGACGCTTTTATCCAAAGCGACTTACAATCTATAACCTGTAGGGCATGTTGTGATCTGTGGGGGAAACCGGAGTACCCGGAGGAAACCCACGCATGCATGGGGAGAACACGCAACTCCACGCAGAAAGGCCGCAGCCAAGTTTCGAACCTGCAACCTTCGTGCTGCGAGGCAACAGTGCTAACCACTGCACCACCATGCAGCCCAGTAAACATGTTTCCACCTGCCACACATGCTGGCGTGCCACAATATAATACACTGCCAAGCCAAAGGAAAGTGTCCCAGTCCCCACTAAGCCCCACCCTCTTCAGCTTAAGTTGCTGACTCGGACAAGCTGTTAGTTTCCTGAATGTTTACAACGAGAGCGGTTAGTGCCGAAACAAGATTTCAAACTAGAATTATATGGAAAAATACTTAATTATAGACATAAATCTTCAGATCACAAAGCAACAGACGCACGCCTCAACAGAGTCAATCATCTCTGATGATGACTGAAGACCAGCTTTGTGTATTTTCAGTAATGTGCTGAATTTATTTACTATCCATGGACAGTAGCCTGCATGGTGGCTAGCCCAGCTAGGCCTATAATTAATAAGAACGCGCTTGTCTTTCCTTAAAACAAACATAGAAATGATTGTTTATATTCACAGTGAGTTGACTGTAGTCTGCCAGTTTTCTCCAGCAGACTTAAACTCCCTGGCCAAAAACAAGCAGCTACCAAAAGAAGAGGTCACACACATTAATATTTCATAGGACCATCTTTAGCTTTGATTACGGCACACGTTCGCTGTGGCGTTGTTTCGATACGCTTCTGCAATGTCACAAGATTAACTTCATCCAGAATTGTTGTCACAAAGATCTTGCTTTGACGTTGGCAGAGTCTGACCGCTGCACAAAGCCTTCTCCAGCTCATCCCAAAGACCCTCAGCGTGGTTAAGGTCTGCGGCCGCATGTATCAAACGTTCGTAGAAAAATCCCTAAATTCCTTCCTATCAACGAAATTTAGAATGTTTGTAAGAACGGTCAAAACCTGATTGATGAAACATGCGCTCATACGCCACCACATCGCTTTACTGAACGCCACACACTGGAAAACACGGCAGAATCCCCCCACAGCCGTTACTAAACTACCGGTGCTGGAAAACACGGCAGAATCCCCCCACAGCCGTTACTAAACTACCGGTGCTGGAAAACACGGCAGAATTCCCCCACAGCCGTTACTAAACTACCGGTGCTGGAAAACATGGCGGAATTCCCCCACAGCCGTTACTAAACTACCGGTGCTGGAAAACACGGCAGAATCCCCCCACAGCCGTTACTAAACTACCGGTGCTGGAAAACACGGCAGAATCCCCCCACAGCCGTTACTAAACTACCGGTGCTGGAAAACACGGCAGAATCCCCCCACAGTCGTTACTAAACTACCGGTGCTGGAAAACACGGCGGAATTCCCCCACAGCCGTTACTAAACTACCGGTGCTGGAAAACACGGCAGAATTCCCCCACAGCCGTTACTAAACTACCGGTGCTGGAAAACAAGGTGAAATTCCCCCACAGCCGTTACTAAACTTCCGGTGCTGGAAAACACGGCGGAATTCCCCCACAGCCGTTACTAAACTACCGGTGCTGGAAAACAAGGTGAAATTCCCCCACAGCCGTTACTAAACTACCGGTGCTGGAAAACAAGGTGAAATTCCCCCACAGCCGTTACTAAACTTCCGGTGCTGGAAAACACGGCGGAATTCCCCCACAGCCGTTACTAAACTACCGGTGCTGGAAAACAAGGTGAAATTCCCCCACAGCCGTTACTAAACTACCGGTGCTGGAAAACACGGCGGAATTCCCCCACAGCCGTTACTAAACTACCGGTGCTGGAAAACACAGTATGTGTCCACGTATGTGGACACGTACGTGGACACAGGGTCCTAGGAGGACAACTGAGAATCGAATGGCCGAACATGAAGTTGTGAATCACGCGTGTGATGACTGCTTGGACATCTGCTGAGACAAGAATCGGCCACTCAGATCATCACAGGAATAAATGACGATCAGATGTCTAAATCTGCTTCACTGGGGATGATTTGAAGGTTTTGTCCCCTCTGCAAGTGCGGATCTGGTTGAGGGTCTAGAAAAATAAACCTTAATGTCCGAGATCGTGCGATAATAGGTCTAAGTAGTGAATCCCCAGGGACTGGATGGTTCTGTGGCTAAAAATTTCTGGACTACTCTCACCAGTACTGTCGTCAGTATTTAATGAGTCCTTGACTGTTCGGTCACTTCCACCAATTATGCATCAAACTGTTATTTCACTGCTTTTGAAAAAAGATTTAAAAAAAATAACACATGCTGCATTTCTTATAGACCGGTGTCGCTTTTAAATTCTGATGCTGAAATTCCTGCAAAGGTCCTTGCTCCTTCCCACAGTTGTTTCACCTGACCAGACCGGGTCTGAGAAGGACTGACAATCTGTTTTTAATGTCTGTTTAATGTGCTGTGCACCTGTGTAAGCCGCGTCAGCAGATTGTCATCATGAAGCAGCGAGAAGCCCTAACCCTTAGGTATCTATTCTGCTACTACTCAGTGCCTATTAGAATAAATAAATACACGAGGCCTAATGAACGTCCTCCATTGGACCAGTTCCTGAAGCAGCTCAGCCGCCCCAGACCATTAAACCTCCACCACCGTGTTTAACTCGGTTATGTCATGATTTGTCCAGACGGACATCAACTTTTTCACAGCCTTGTAAATAAATGTTTTGCTAAAAGGTCTGGTGATGTTCTGTAGCTTAATACTGATGATTTCTTCAGCTCTGCCGTTAGATAACAGATTCTCTCTGTTGCCTTCCTCCTTCCACGTTTAAACACACGAACACAAACGTGCTACCAGGACAACAGAGCAAACAGCTCCAGAGGAAACCACCACAACTCCAGACCCTCAGGGCTTTAACCTAGGTGAAGTACCCACCCCATGTCTGCAGGGGGATGAGCTGACAGAAAGTGCCTGCCCAGAGAGACAAAAGTCAGCAAGAACTGGTCTATTTTTCATACGAAGAAGCAGCCATCAAATCCCCAAAGCTGCCCTGTAACAAATGAATCCTCCTCCAGCCAAATGTGATGGAAGCATCTAATTCCACGGCTGATTTCACAACCATACTGTTTTGCCCTCATGCGTGTTTCTTTGACTCAGCTGGAATAATGAAAACACTGAAGAGACTCAAAAGTCAAAGCATGTTACAAGATTTCTGTGCTGTTTAAAGGATACAGTCGCCTTTCAGTGAAAACACCTCTGCAGTCTGGGAAAAAGCAAAAGTTATCATTAAAAAACACAACCTACATTATTCAAACCCTTATGAAGATGCAGAAAACACACGATGAAAGAGAATTTCTCCATGGAACAAGCCACACTACGAGTGATGCTTCTCCACCTTACTCAGACGTTTTCAACTCTAGGCTTTTGCCTGAAATTCCTCAAATAATTTAAAGCTGAAGATCACGTCGGCATCCTAGCAGGATCAGGAGCTGACTGTCGGACATGGAGTCACACGAACCTGATTATGGAAAGGATTTACGTGTTTTTGTGAGCTTTTGTTCCCATCCAGTCGCTTCTAACTTCACTCAGTAGCCAGTACACCAATATCTCCTAAAGCCTCCATCACAGCCACTCCGAGTCCTTTTATGTTCTTGTTTCTGGAGACTTGTTCTTCATCGTAAATCAGGAGAAAACTATAACACAATAACTGTCTTCTCCAACCGACCGAGACTAGAAAACACTGGAAGAGGATTATACACGTTAACTCCAGTAAATGTGAGACGTGTGAGTTCCCACAGGCAGAAAAAAGAAAACACATCAATAAAATCCACAGATTTGATGCATCTGGACATAATAAACTGATCTGGTTTTTATCAGGTTCTTTAGTTATTTCAGTCCAACACAACTCACAAAAACCCTGAAGAATATATTCCTCTGGGTTTTTCTCAACAAGTCAAGCACCATGGGCGCACACACACACACACACACACACACACACACCTGGTGCAGAGACTGTGGCAGCAGACAATAGTCATCGTGGTTTTCTCTGAGGTGCTGCAGGGAGGCCAGCAGCTCTGGGCTGAGGCTCAGAGGATGGCGTGTAGAGACAAGACCTACAAACACAAACAGGCTAAATATAGCTCATGCTACCGCTAAGAACGTTTTCCTGTAATTCACCTCAGTGTGGAGTTATTGTGTCAAAACAAATATTTGAGTGAGTCTATTAAGACTAAAACTATTATGGGAAGGGTTTTCTCCCAGAGACAGCCAGTGATCTCCAAGGGGAACCAGACTTGCACAGACCTGCAGTTCCACCCTCGTCCACTAGGGTCTGGCAGCAGAAGTGAGCTAATCCTCATTGACTCCCATGTTAAAGATGCTAATTTCACAGCAGAAATAAACATGTTTACATCCTGGTTCAAAAAACCATTTTAGGTTTAATGGATCTAGTTTACATTCAGCTCTGAGGGGGTGAATGTTTTTGTAACTCTTTCATTTAGGCTTAATTTAATACTTGAAAATATGAATAATTAGATTTGATTGACAGGTAGCACAAGCGTCAGAGCTAGCGCTAGCGGCTAGCGGGGAAGGCCTCAGCCTGGGACTCACGTTAACCGATGTTTGGTCATTTTGACTCAGTGAGCTGTAGCTGAGTCCTCCGTGTGTTCGTGGTTGAATGTTCAACATGGAATTATTTGGACAAAGAGGGCAAGTTGTGGTTTTGACTGCACCAACAGATCATCCAAGAAGTTTCTGCTAATCCAGTAAAATTATGTTTCTGTACTTTATTTCGCTAGTTGAATGGGAGGAAATGCTGTGTGTTTAACCTAACACTGCTTGGTCAAAGATGGGTTGAAATATGACGTGTTGGTGGAGCTGGCCGGGTAAAGAGGTACCGCTGGTTCACCGCGTTCAGCAGCGCACAGATTGAGAATGGCACCAGCAGTTTTGGTAATGATGGTTTTCGACTCGTCAGGAGCGTCGAGCTCTTCTACCATTTTGGAGACGCCAAAGGCAAGAAGGGCGATGTTATTTCCTGCAGCACCGGTGATCTAACTGCTGGCATGGAGGAGCGAGAATGTACTGGAGGAGAGGAATCTGCTGAGGGTTAGGGTTAGGGTCGTCGACCTCCATGTTGTTCAGGAGGGAAGAAGGGCTATGGCAGCCAGCCTCGTCGTACTCCTCAAGGTCGATGTCATCGTCCACTCGGTTGGAGCCAGCCGGCTCCTGGCCGACGTTGAGGAACTGCAAGGCCTTGTCCAGCGAGTGCATGTCAGCCACCGGAAATTCCTTGTCGGTGGCGGGGTTGAAGTACTCAACCTGGCGGATCTTTTCAGCCATGGCCAGAGCGGCACAAAACGGGTGCGAAGCCTGGGGGGTCAAGGCCAGGCCAGCGTGATGAGCCCCGAGACAGACCCCACATTTGGCGTGCAGGTTGCCGCTGGAGATGCAGCCCATCTGGCAGGCCGGGCAGGTCCTGAGGTCACTGGACATGGTCGGTGAGGATAATCGCTCTTGGATAATTGCTCTTTAATGAAAGCTCTTAAGCTTGGCTTGAAGAGATATCGGAGGTGAACAGTGGAGTCGCTCCACTTATATACCCACGGGGATGCCCACCTCTGGTGGGCGTACATTTAAGCTCTTCATGATTGGCTGATGCTGAGATCACCCTTCCAATAGCAGCTATCTTAAGGGCTAAGACTAGACGAAATAGAACCATAACATAAAAACTATTTGAGATTTTTTGTATTTATTTACATACGCTTTGAAAACTAAATGTATTTTTTATCTTTTTAGAATTATTTGTTCTACATTTCTTCTGGTTTGAGATTGTTCATTTTTACATCAACAGAAGAAAAGAACCCATTGCAACATATATCGTTACCTAAGTTTATCAGTAGATAGATTTCAGGCCATGTCGCGCATTCCTCCTGCAGGCTACTCAGTGATCAGATGCTTCACAAAGGCACTCAACAACTAAACTTTACTTCCTGCGTAAGCAGGTGCAGTAGCCTGGAAAGCATGTCTACGAGGGACGTCAGACGATGCTCAGCTCTTTATACTCAGACAAAAAAGTCTTTTATTAAAATGTTCGATGGCTCAGCGCCACTGAGGTCCAATGTGAAGCATGTAGGTGCAGCATGTTTCCAAGAGATGGTGTGTGGCTGCATGAAGGCTTCATCACTTGAGTATGGAGCCCATGCGAAAGCCGCTGCAATACTGCAACAACTATTTCCCAAAGCTGCTGCACATCAGAAAGATGTTGTCTATCAAACAAACATAAAGTCATTTACCGGTGACATCATCAGATACCGCCTGCTCCTTTAGTGTTGGGACAGCATCAGGACCTCTGGGCAGGCTGGTGTTTTTGTTCCCCATCACCTTCCCCACCGCTGCAGTCTTCTAGTCCAAGTTTCTTAAACGCTGCTGCTCCAGGGGCTGTGTCTTTTCCCCAGACCCTTTGGGCCAACAGGAACTGTGTTCCCTCCAAGCAAGGATAAGGATTTAAAAAAATGTGCTCCACTCCACCCCAGCAACGGAGCAAGAGTTTCCAGAAATGCTGAGATGGGTCCTGATGGAGCGGAGAACAGAGAGGGCTGACCTCACCACACTAGGCGGTTTTGATCTTTTCCTTTTCTTCAAACATCAGTACTTCAGGACCTTGTTCCAAATCAGCTGTCAAGACAAGCAGACACAAACAGTTAAAGTGAAGAATGAAAAATGCTGATTTCTATGTTTACTGGTGATGAGATCATCTAACCCTAACCCTAACCCTGTTTTAAGATGGCACCAATCCGAGACAACATCCATGATTGTTGTGACGTCATTCGATGTTAACATTTTACTTTTTAAGCCGGCCCAGTTATTTGTGTTTGATTTCTTCCAGATTTCCATCATGATTCCATTTCTCTGAATTCCAGGTTTTATTAGTTTGTACTTGTCGGGTTCCCCTTCCCTGCTGGTGTTTTGGAAGTATTCCTTGTTTATCCTTTTTCCCTTCTGCAGGGTGTGGCAGGCAGCTCCCACAGCTGTTTTTCATCAGGTGCATCATCAAAGGAGCATAAGAGGAGCGGGACTCCACCTGGACAGCACCAGATTGTTCCACTACTCTCATGGTAACCACAGGCCTTCCTGACTTGTACCTGCGTTAGCCTCGTGACTTATTCCTGTGTTTTTCCTCCCAGAGATCCTGCACGAGACGTCGTTCTGTCCTCCCTCCTCGTTCCTCTGAAATCCAACACTACCTGCGGTAGTCCTCACAGAAGGGGTATCACTCCCAGAAGGAACAATAGCAGACATTGGGGACAGCTACAAGTACCTTGGTATCCCACAAGCAAATGGCAACCTTGATGAAGCTGCAAGGAGCCACAGCCAAATACCTACGGGAGTGTAAGGCAAGTCCTAAACAACAAGTAAGGCAAGTCCTAAACAACAAGTAAGGCAAGTCCTAAACAACAAGTAAGGCAAGTCCTAAACAACAAGTAAGGCAAGTCCTAAACAACAAGTAAGGCAAGTCCTAAACAACAAGTAAGGCAAGTCCTAAACAACAAGTAAGGCAAGTCCTAAACAACAAGTAAGGCAAGTCCTAAACAACAAGTAAGGCAAGTCCTAAACAACAAGCAAGGCAAGTCCTAAACAACAAGCAAGGCAACTCCTAAACAACAAGCAAGGCAAGTCCTAAACAACAAGTAAGGCAAGTCCTAAACAAAAAGCAAGGCAAGTCCTAAACAACAAGCAAGGCAAGTCCTAAACAACAAGCAAGGCAAGTCCTAAACAACAAGCAAGGCAAGTCCTAAACAACAAGCAAGGCAAGTCCTAAACAACAAGCAAGGCAAGTCCTAAACAACAAGCAAGGCAAGTCCTAAACAACAAGCAAGGCAAGTCCTAAACAACAAGCAAGGCAAGTCCTAAACAACAAGCAAGGCAAGTCCTAAACAACAAGCAAGGCAAGTCCTAAACAACAAGCAAGGCAAGTCCTAAACAACAAGCAAGGCAAGTCCTAAACAACAAGCAAGGCAAGTCCTAAACAACAAGTAATGCAAGTCCTAAACAACAAGCAAGGCAAGTCCTAAACAACAAGTAAGGCAATTCCTAAACAACAAGCAAGGCAAGTCCTAAACAACAAGTAAGGCAAGTCCTAAACAACAAGTAAGGCAAGTCCTAAACAACAAGCAAGGCAAGTCCTAAACAACAAGTAAGGCAAGTCCTAAACAACAAGCAAGGCAAGTCCTAAACAACAAGCAAGGCAAGTCCTAAACAACAAGTAAGGCAAGTCCTAAACAACAAGCAAGGCAAGTCCTAAACAACAAGCAAGGCAAGTCCTAAACAACAAGCAAGGCAAGTCCTAAACAACAAGCAAGGCAAGTCCTAAACAACAAGTAAGGCAAGTCCTAAACAACAAGCAAGGCAAGTCCTAAACAACAAGCAAGGCAAGTCCTAAACAACAAGCAAGGCAAGTCCTAAACAACAAGCAAGGCAAGTCCTAAACAACAAGCAAGGCAAGTCCTAAACAACAAGTAAGGCAAGTCCTAAACAACAAGCAAGGCAAGTCCTAAACAACAAGCAAGGCAAGTCCTAAACAACAAGCAAGGCAAGTCCTAAACAACAAGTAAGGCAAGTCCTAAGAACTCAGCTCAATGGCAAGAACAAGATCTGGGGCCTCATTTATCGAGCTAGCTTACGCACTAAACGGGGTCGGAAAACTGCGTAAGCAACTTTCCACGCAAACTTTGGGATTTATGAAAGAAAACGTAACGGGAAAATGTACGCAACTTTAAGATGACTTTAAGGAGCTTACACACATGTTGGACATGGAGAACACCTGCAGCGCTGCTGCTGAGAAGGATAACATTATGAAATCCAGCAGCTTTATCACGTGTACTGCTTCGTTTTCACGCAGAACAAACTCACAAAGAACTCACAGCATTGACGGCTTCAGCAACACTGTGCTACTCCGTGGATTTTCTCTTACTTGTTTTGCAAAAGCACTTCCTTTCATTTCTCCACCCCACCTACAGGTACCTGAACTTCTGCTTGGGTGAAATAAGGTTTCCTTAATCTGCGGTCGCGACTGAAATGCTTCAACGAGCCGGCTTATGTATATGCATGAGATCCACAAGGCACTTTGCACTTGTGGTACTTTGCCACCGGGTAGAGTGGTCTCACCTAACACTGGGTTACTTTAATACAGAACTCTGGGTTATCCAATTAACCTGTTGTTAACCAAACCCTTGGGTCGATCCTGATGGGTATTCTTTTTCAACCCAGCATTTATGTTATTTGAACCGTCATTGCTGGGTTATAATGACCTAACTAATGAGTTATTATTATATCCATGCCATCTTACTTCTTTATCTAATCACTAGATATTGATCATTACAATAAATGTGTGCAGTGTTATTATTAAAATCCATTCTTTTTCTTTACATATGTTTTGGCCTAAGTGTCAAAATATTCAAATAAATAATTAAGTTAATAATTACACAAACATAAAGTGACTAAATCAATGAGGAATCGGCCCCAGCCCTACAAAAAAGTAAAAACCAAATATTTATACCAACTATAAAATGTATAAAACTACTTTTATTGTCATCAGAAATAGAATATAGACAACAGAGTTCATACAAAATATATTTAGAGATGTGTGTGTGTGTGTGTGTGTGTGTGTGTGTGTGTGTGTGTGTGTGTGTGTGTGTGTGTGTGTGTGTGTGTGTGTGTGTGTGTGTGTGTGTGACATAATCAAAGCTCACGCTCCAGTACATACACGTTTGAATTTCTACAATAATAATAATAATAATAATTATTATTATTATTATAATGATGATGATAATAGTAACGATACTATTAATCTTGGGATTGTTATTACTCTTCTTACCTTTATCATCATCATCATCACATCTCTGCGCTCTTGGCTCTAACACCCGCTTGGCTGAAATGAAGCCATGTCATGGTCCTAATGGTGGTTCAAAGTACCGAGTTAAGCCCGCCGAGCCCTACCGAACCAGCACACGTTCTGTTCGGGTTCTGTATGTTTATGTGAGCCATCTAAAGAACGGGTCGTGAGGATGGAGGCAAGAGCCGAACTCACCCAGCTGGAGGATGAGGAGTGTCCGCATCAGTGCACCAGGAGCGTGGTGATGTGTTCCTCTTGTGCAGCAGGACCCAGGCTCGGTTTACTCCTGCTTCCCTCACCGCTCACACACACACACACGCACACACACACACACGCACACGCACATGCACACACACACGTCTACGTAGGGTTCCTGCACGGACTTGTCTGCGTGCTGCAACCCGAGTCCGAGGCTGCCCTCTGCTGGCGGGTGTGTGCATCTGCTCCTGCTGTTTATGTAACCAGATGATGAGCTGCAGACCTCCTGGATATGAGGGGAAATAACCACCTAGCTACGTTGTGTTATCACTGTTGCACACTGACACAAGACTGTATTAGTCCTTACACGGGCTCTAAACCTTTATTAATGGTGTAGGGCAGCGGTTTCCCTGTCGGGGCTTTGGTGGTATACTTGCTCAAAGCCACCGAGGAGTTATTTCTCTTCATTGAACAAAGATGTAAGTCTACAAATAACCAAAGCCAGGGCTGCACTATAGAAATGTTGCATGCATTCAGAACGGTTGTAGGCAGTGAAACATGGATGGATTTTAAAGGCTTTTTCTTTAGCGATCCACTGATCTGAGAGGGTGTCGTTGTAATAGTGTTAGGTTGTGGTTATGGAGGTCACATTTAGCTGTAACACATTTATAATGAAGTAAACATATTTAATGTGCGTGTGGAAAAAACTAAATACAACATTCTCCCATTTCACAGTGAAGTCCTTGGAGCTGTCCAGTCAGAAATCCTCTTCCTGAAGGTTGTAGTGTGTCCTTGTGGGACACCATGGGTAAGAGAGGCCCCAGCACAGAACCTTGTGGGACACCATGGGTAAGAGAGGCCCCAGCACAGAACCTTGTGGGACACCATGGGTAAGAGAGGTGGTGGAGGACCTCAACTTGGAGACGGCCACAGAAAAGGAGCGCTCAGAGAGATAAGAGGAGAACCACTCCAGAGCAGATCCTGATAGGCCTACCCAGTCTCTCAGCCTCTCCAGTAGCAGGTGATGGTCAACAGTGTCAAAGGCTGCAGTCAGGTCCAGCAGGACCAGAACCAGAACCCTGCATCACTGTGAGTCAGAACGGATGAATGGAATGGCTTCTACATCATGTGACTGTCACATTTTATCTGTGAGTGGTACTGGCCCTCTTTATTGTGAAACGGTTACAGAGATGTTGTAGTACTTTATCTCTTCGAACATTTTTTTATCAGAAGGCCAAGTTCACTAGATTTCAACACATCTGTGGGTCTTTAGTATTAACGAAGGCCTTGTGAGTCGATCTGTGTGTGGGACACGGCTCTGGTGCTCCTGTTTCAGGAAGTTGTGGTTAGCTAGAGCAAACCCAGTAGGGTTTGGATTCTTACTCATTATTTCCTGATATTCTGAAATCTTGCCTCTGATTGGCTGGTTTCTCAGTGAACTTGTTAAGGCTGCAAGCCCACCTGGCAACTCGTGAAACAGCATTACTCACTGACATTTGACTGTTTATTGCCCCCTCTCCCACCCCATACCAGGTTTCTGCCGCTGCTAAGACCGGTTCTGTTTAGCCAGCCTCCTGGCTGTGCCTTACCTGCATAAATATAAATGAACAAAACAACATCATAACCTAGGAAGTTCCTACAGAAACACTGATGCTGCTTAGATGTTCTCACAGAAAAATCCTGTTACAGCCAATCAGAGAGCTGGGTGGGGAGCAGACAGGTGGAGCCGGGAACAGGAACACCTAGAACCAACTGTTAAAAAATGGTGGAAGTCATGCTCGCCTTTCATTCAAGTAAAAGTACCGATAAGGAGGTTCAAATGTGTTCAGTACAAGTCTTCAGCGTGAGAAACATAAAGTGTCACAAGAGAAGGAAAAAGCACAAAAGAGATTCAATTCAAGTTTATTTACAAAGCGCCAAGTCAGGACCAGAGTCGTCTCAAGGACCTGCACACAGTAACCAGTACAGGTCAGGTCATCAAGCCAATCAGTAACAAGTTCCTATATAAGGAACCCAGCAGGTCGCATCGAGTCACTGACTCGTGTCAGAGTCTTTACAGCGATCCTCACACTAAACAAGCATGACTATGTTTCCAGGACAGGTAGGCCTCCTCATGGTGCGTAGAGCGCCATGTTCTCTTCAGTTTACTAGAGTTTAAGGCTCGTAGATGAGAGTTAAACCAGGGAGCCAACTTCCTGTCCCTAATTACCTTCTTTTTTAAAGGGGCAGCATCATCTAATGCCACACGTAAAGAGGAATTAACATGATGAACTAAGGCATCAATTTGTGAGGGGCTAGAAGTGAGAATATTGCCCTCTGCTACGTTCCTCTGAGATGCTGAGGACAGTAAAGATGGAACAGGTGATTTAAAAGATGCAACTGCGTTGTCTGATAGAGACCGACTATAGTGAAATCTACTTTCATGTCTCGAGAACTCAGTTATAAAAAACTCAAAGGTTATCAGAAAGTGGTCCGAGAGGACTGGATTATGTGGAAAGATCCTTATTTCCTCACACTCTATGCCATAAGTCGTGATGATGACTAATGGTGATGTAGAAAGCCCACAGAGGGTCTGATGAAGAACAAAACTGAGCATAAACGCTCACCAGCCTCTTTTATCAGGTACGCCTATCCAGACTCACACCCTGTCCTGCCTCTCGCTTCCCCTCACCCCAGCTCCCAGCCCTCCTGTACTTAAACCCCTCCAGTGCTGTGTCTCTTGCTGCCTCACTGTTCCCATGTCCTGCGCGTGTTTATTAGTAAAAGACTTTACCTGTCCCAGGTTGTCTACCTGCCTGATTCCTCCCCAGCGTTTGGATCCGTACCTCCGCTCCACTCACCAGAGCGTCGTGACATCCAGCTGCTTCTTTACACCAGTACCACTGCATTTATACGCCAGGGTGGAGATGGTCTGCTGGTGATCTAACTAAGCATCAGCAGACATTCCCTCCCTGTGTAACGTGGGAGTTAGAGTACTTCAGAACCTGCTGAACTACTGGGATCTGAACCCACAACCAAAGCTATGGTTCACTGATGGGTTGCTATCAGGGCAGACTCTGATGATGGTTCCTATAGAACAACATTTCTGAAGCTCATTCCAGCAGAAATCTCCTGTGAAATGAGCATGAGCCAGCTAAGGTCTCCTTCTGAATTATTAACCTTTAGACGAGCCAGAACAACGAGGAAATGGAGCAGAAGGAGATGCAGGGAACGTCGTGGAAGCAGGAATACGTGCGTCTGCTCTGACAACACTGCTCTTGTAACTGGACCCCTTCGGGGCTGATCTCTGCTCATTCTCTTTACCTTCTCATCAGCGACAGGCGGGGAACGTCCCAGGGTGTTGGTGGGAATCAGCTGTCACAGAGAAATGTGCAGAAAAGACAGAAATCATGAAAACTGGAGTGTAAAGAGTTTATTTTTGCTGCAGTCTCCAGAGTTTCTCCTGACATCCAAACGCAAATCTGAGGTCATTCATTCATCCATTCATCCATTCATCGTGCTGATTCATGATTCAACAACAAACTATGTGTTTCTTCCATGTAAAATTGAAATGCACCCATCTGGGTCAGCTGTAGTTGTGGGCTGATTATCGTGCATCAGTGGGTGCTCTCTGATTGGTTGAGAGCCAGAAGGTCGTTATAGAGCAACTCCCTGTTGCGTCGGATCATTCCCTCTAGGATGTCAACGTCTGCTCAGTAACGTCTTCACTGAAACACGTTTAATGGCATCAGCTGCATCACTTTACATGATCTTCCAATAAAATATGAAGTTTCAACCATGTCAGCACCAAAAGTCTATGTACACCATGGCACCGGGGGTAGAAGAGCTAACTCACTGACCACGACACACAAACACGTTCAACACGACTAGACTTGATCAGCCCGACTGATCGAGACCAGCTTCACACAAAACTAAAAATCTTATCCTACGGATATAAAAACCACAAAAGTCTCTGAGAACCGGTCAGCCACACATATTTAATATGAGTCAAACTGTGAGAAATGCTGAAATGTAAGGAACAGAAAGCATGTGAGAGCATTAAAATGTGTGAATGTATGAATGTCTTCTGTCTGTGAGTGAGTGAATTTCAGCTTCTGAGCTAACCCTAACCCTTTCATAATATTCACACATTTACAGAGCGGCTTCATGCAGACGGGTGTGTCGTGTCTGGAAGACTTTCTGAGCAGTCAGTAGCTTAAATCCCAACAACACCGGACCGTTGCTCATCAGCACGTTGTCCGCTCAAGTACCGTTAGCTCAGATGTTAGCTACGCTTATGACTTTACATTTTTATCACCCTGGTGACGCAAAAGCATGGATGCAGAAACAGATAAAGTTCTGCGTGAGGTATTTGTCTGATGACATCATCTTTCATCATGAGAAACAAAACTAGTGCTCAGGTTTAAATCCATCAGCCTCTTCTTTTAAACCAACCCAACCCAACCTGGCGCGTAGCACATCAGACGCATTTTACTCAAAAGCTGCTCACACAAGGTCACATGACGACCGAAGTACTGCGAGACCACGCGTCATTTCAGCGGTTCACATGCTAACGAGGAAGGAGAGGGATGGAAGCACGGACCCAAAAGGGTCTGCGGTTTATTTTCTGTTCCATTTACACGAGCGTCACAGGTCGTGATGTTCTAGTTTTTACTAGTTACGCAACCGGAAATCTGCATGGGACTTTTATTCTGAAAGTTTCCAGATGTTGTCCACTACTGGTGTGTTTGGCCCGATCTGAACTACAGAACTTGATGCACTCTGTGGCCGTTGTGAATGCACCAGCCACCATGACGGGGACTGTTTACGGCGTAGTACACTTCACAGAGGTTGTGTGTCTGGTGGAAGGATGTGGTACTGAGGTACTTCAGCCCTTCTAACGTGTTTTTCTGTGTAGAAGTTATTAGGAGTTGTTTCCATGCTGACTGTAAATAAACCCCTGGGTGGCCGTGACTAGACAAACAGAGTTTGTGTTTATCGTCAGCAGTGGCAGAGTCCAGGGATGAAGTCGTGTCTTTCACACGGGAACACCATAAACTTCCACATCTTTCCAAGCTTCTGCTCTTTTCATCGCTGTTCACTGAGCTGCGTCCTGCTGGAAGCTGTAGAGCAGGTGACCACCACGATGCTGGCCTTGGTACGGTTGATGTCGTTCTCCAGCAGGATCTTCACCTCCTCAAAGGCCTCCAGACGTTCCAGGGAGTCCACCTCGATAGTCGACCGCGGGTCTGCTGGGGAAGGAAACACTTCATCTCACAACCTGATCTACTGCTTATTTGTGTGTGTGTGTGTGTGTGTGTGTGTGTGTGTGTGTGTGTGTGTGTGTGTGTGTGTGTGTGTGTGTGTGTGTGTGTGTGTGTGTGTGTGTGTGTGTGTGTGTGTGTGTGTGTGTGTGTGTGTGTGTGTGTGTGTGTGTGTGTGTGTGTGTGTGTGTGTGTGTGTGTGTGTGTGTGTGTGTGTGTGTGTGTGTGTGTGTGTGTGTGTGTGTGTGTGTGTGTGTGTGTGTGTGTGTGTGTGTGTGTGTGTGTGTGTGTGTGTGTGTGTGTGTGTGTGCGCGTGCGTGCGTGCGTGCGTGCGTGTGTGTGTGTGTGGCACCGAGCAGGGGTGGGCATACTTGTTGCCCCCCACCTTGGTGCCTGTGCGTTGGGGTTTACCCCGGTGAACAACAGGGTAGCGTCCCTCCGCCTTCGTGTGGGGGGCGGGTTCTGAATGTGGTTGGTGCTCATGGGTTAGGGTTAGCTAGCTAAGCTGCAGGTCAGACTACCCACCCTTTTTGGAGTCCTTGGAGGGAGCGCTCCTTCTAGTGACTCCCTCGTTCTGCTGGGGGACTTTAACGCTCACGTGGGCAACGACGGTGAGACGTGGAGAGGTGTGGTTGGGAGGAACGACTCCCCTGATCTGAATCAGGGTGGTGTTTTGTTCCTGGACTTCTGTGCCAGTCATGGATTATCCATGACTGGCACCATGTTCAAGCATAAAGGAGTCCATATGTGCTCTTGGCACCAGGATGCCTTAGGCCGCTATTCGATGATCGACTTTGTTGTTCTTTCATCTGACCTGCGGCTGCATGCCCTCAGCACTCGGGTGAAGAGAGGGGCGGAGCTGCGGTGAGTCGGCTTCAATGGTGGGGAGGGTGCTGGATGACCTGGCAGGCCCAAACGTAATGTGAGGGTCTGCTGGGAACGTCCGGCAGTATCCTGTCAGAAGGAGCTGCAAGTCCCACCTCCGACAGAACTTCGAACTCAACTCAGCCTTCATTTATAAAGCACCTTACAGGCATGAGCATGCCACCAAGGCGCGGTACAACAGAAGAATAAAACACATAGCGCCACAGACGTAATTAAAACCACAAATAAGAATCACAAAACATAAAACATTAGCAATCGCTAACCCACAGAATCAAAAGCCTGATAATCAAAGTAGGTTTTCAGCCTCATGTTAGAAACCGCTGCCGATGGAGAGCCCCTAATAGTTGGGGGCAGTGCGTTCCACAGTTTTGGACCCGCAATAGAGAACGCCCTGACCCCTCTCAACTTCAACCTAGCCTAGGAGCCACAAGCAGCAGCTGGTTCTCATAGCGGCGTGACCGGGCCGGAACATACGGCTGCAGCAACTCCGTCAAATAGGCTGGAGCCACACCACTCAGCGCCTTAAGCACCATTAAAAGTAGTTTAACCCTAACTCTAAAATCAACAGGTAACCAGTGGAGAGCAGCCAACATTGGTGTCACGTGTTCATGCTTCCTTTTGTTGTCCAGGAGTCTAGCTGCAGCATTCTGGACAAGCTGCAGCCGGGTTACAGCACCCTTACTTACACCACATAAAACAGAATTACAACGGTCGAGTCGTGAGGTAGTAACAGCATGAACAACAGTCTCAAGGTCACGTCTAGATAAAAACGGCTTTGCTTTAGCCAAACGTCTTCCATGATAAAATGAAGAGGATACTACAGTACCCACATGAGCATCCATGCAGAATGCACCGTCCATCTTCACGCCAAGGCTGACTGCTGAGACACCCAAACAGGAGTTCAGTTCCCCGCAGTCTACGTTTGAAAACTCAACGTGTCCGCTCGGACCAAACAACAGAGCCTCTGTTGTTTCCCATCGAGACGCAGGAAGTTTTCTGCCAACCGTATCTTAATTTCTGCCAGACACCCAAAAAGTGTTTTATCGTGTATCGTTTAACTTCGAACACATGCCGGTGGAAGCGGGGGACGTTATGAGTGGGCCATGTTCTGTGCTTCTATTATTGAGGCGGCTGGCCAGAGCTGCGGCTGCGGGGTCGTCGGTGTCTGTTGTGGTGGCAACCCCCGAACCTGACGGTGGACATCAGCAGTTAGGGATGCCGTCAAGCTGAAGAAAGAGTCGTATCAGGTCTTTTTGGCCTGCGGGACTCCAGAGGCAGCTGATCGGTACTGGCAGTCCAAGCGGAATGCCGCTCGGGTGGTCGCGGAGACAAAAACCCGGGCGTGGGAGGAGTTCGGTGAGACCATGGAGCAAGACTTCCATACAGCTTCGAGGAATTTCTGGTCAACCATCCGGCGTCTCAGGAGGGGAAAGCAGTGCGCTACCAACAATGTTTACAGTGTTGACGGTGTGCTGCTGACCTCTACTTGGGACGTTGTGGATCGGTGGACAGAATACTTCAAAGACCTCCTCAATCCCACCGGCACGTCTTCCAGTGAGGAAGCAGAGTCTGGGGACTTGAGTTGGACCCCATTCTCTGGGCCGAGGTCACTGAGGTGGTCCAAAAATTCCGGGGATGGCTGAGATCCGCCGGAGTTCCTTAAGGCTCTGGGTGTGTTTGGGCTGGTTTGGTTAACGTGGCTTTGCAGCGTCGAGTACTGTGGGGGGTACTCTGAGTGTGCAGTACCAGACCCTCTGATACGGGCTGTTAGGGTCCTGTATGACCGGTGTCAGAGCTTGGTCCACATTGCCGGCAGTAGGTCGAGCTCCTTTCCGGTAAGGGTTGGACTCCGCCAAGGCTGCTCGTTATCACCGATTCTGTTCGTACTTTTCATGGACGGGACTTCTAGGCCCAAACCCCATCCGACTTCATAATCCATCACGTTTCTTGGTTTTGGTTGTTTTGTTTGTTTATTTTAGATATCTCATATGTATTCCAGTTCCATTCTTAAACGTTCTTTAGGAATTACACCTCGTTGACCTTTGAGAGGGCGTACTTGCCATTATCGTGGCATCTGTTGAGAAAGTTCTCAAAACAACAAAATTATCACTTTTCTCAAGACTTTCTGTGAGAATTTATAGCCCAACACAATTTGTTATTTTGACTGACCAAACTCTTATCATCTCCCATCTGATCAAGTTAGATGGACACAGCAGGGACAGGAAGCTTGTTTTTCAAAGTAAATTATTTGGTATCATAGGGTTAATTTTGTGAGTTGGGAGGTTTTTTATGCATTCCCTAAAGACACGAAACACCTTCACAGTTTTGGTTAAAAGTTTAGGTTCATTAACGGTACATCTGACTCACTTGTATTTTTAATAATGATAATACATCGAACTTATAGAGCGCTTTTTAGGACACTCAAAGACGCTTCCACACACTCTCACATTCACACACTGCCAGTGATGGTAAGCTACTTGTAGCCACAGCCGCCCTGGGGAGGTCTGACCGAGGCGAGGCTGCCATTTGGTGCCGTCGGCCCCTCTGACCACCACTAACACAGGAAAGTTGAGTGAAGTGTCTTGCCCAAGGACACAACAGCAGAACTTATTCCTGGCAGGAGTTGGAATCGAACCCATGACCCTGCGATCGTGAGGTAACCCGCTCTACCACCTGAGCTGCTGCTGCTCTACTGCTGGATGAAAGTATGTTCCTGATCACTCTGTGAACAGAGTCCATGTGCTGACTCTTCACAAAGCCTGATCATCATTTGTGACCTGTAATGATGGTGTAAATGAGACGCGTCGGTGATGTCACGATAACATTTACTCACACTCTTGGTTCCGTTTGGCAGGCTGCAGCATGAGGTTGTGTTGGACCTGCTCTAGCCCGCTCCCCCAGCTGTTGTATTGGACTTGAACCTCTGAGGTCCTCCGTTGATGGCGCTCCACAAACTGCAGCTTGGCGCTGAAGCATGCAAGGCCCTGAAGGAATAAAAACACACATTTTACCCGTTTAATTTATTTAATATGTATTGTCGTGTGTCTGCGTCGTCTGCAGTGATGAATGACCTCTGAGCAGCAACCTCGCCCTTCAGACACATTAACACAATGTTTGGATGCAGACTATCTCTGAGGAAGGAAACAAAGCAGGTCTGTGGGCGTTACTCCTGCAACCCTAACCTCATCACAAGTACGAGTCGAAACACACACATGTCCTGTTAAACACCAACAATATGGACCTCAGTGTTAACGATAAACTTTGCAACAATCAGTATTGTTGGTTTGTTCTTCTTTAAAAGCGGTTGTGTTACAGTGTGCCGTGTTAACTGTACGTTTGGAGGACGCCTTTGTTCCCCGTTGCAGAGCATTGACCCAGTTTCCCCCATGTGGTCATTAAATTTGTATCAAAGAAGCTGCGTCTGAGACCGGCAGAGGCAGACCTACAGTCTCAGGGGAGCTGACCTGTCACCATGGGGACATGACATCACCACATGCACCACATTTTGCTTTCAGGCATGTTTTAACTGAGCAGTCCTGGCACACACTTGGTAAACACTGTTCCTCAGCAGCAGTCGGTGAGAACCCGGCACATAGCTGCCTCGTTAGATCAGGAGGATTAGTTGGTGGTCGTATTCTTGTGAGAGTGGGATCATGGAAGGGCGGGACTTTGTTACCCTCACCAACAACTATAGCGAACCCATCAAAGCTCTGCACAGGCAACATATCTGGGTGATCAGACTCCAAACCCTGTCGTCTGAAGCTTCACTCTGATCTGGCAATCTTCTAGAGCAGGCGCACCCGGGCTTTATATACCCAGAGTATAACTTCATAATAACAATAATACTACATTTTATTTAACAGCACCTTTCAGGACACCCAAGGAGACTTTACAAAAATGGGGAAAATAATAAAAACAAGCTAAACCGTACAGAAATATGTAAAAACACCAAGATGCTAACATTTAAAAACAACGTATTAAAACTAGGTGTGAAGAGGCGGGTTCTGAGATTTGATTTAAAAAGTGTGAGAGAGAGAGTGGTGCGTAGATCGGGGAAGAAAATTCCAGAGGTGGGGAGCAGAGTGGCTGAATGCTCTACTCCCCGTGGTGACAAGGCGAGCGGGGGGAGCTGAGGAGCAGTCGAGGAACGAAGAGCGCGGTCAGCAGTGGTGATGTGAATGAGATCATAAATGTAGGATGGAGCCAGGTTATGGAGAGCTTTGAATGTGATGAGCAGAATTTTGTTGATTCTCTGTTTGATGGGCAGCCAGTGAAGTTGGCTGATTACAGCAGCAGATGTGGATATGATGTTGAGCAGACATCGTGGCTCCTTGTTTAATCTGTGGATTTAAAAGTCCTGTTTGACCCAGCTTGACCCGGCTGTGTAGATGTGCCCTTTGCCACAAATTAGAGGACCTTCGGTGAGGCTACATAGGGTCAGAGAAGTTTGTGGGGTCTAGGCCAGGTTTCTTCAGAAGAGGTGTAATTATGGCAGTTTTGAAGGTTGAAGGGACAATTCCAGAGCTTAGGGAGCGATGAATAATGTTGGTTATGAGAGGAGCGAGAGAAGAGAGGCAGGTTTTAAAAAAACTTTAGGGAAGGGATCGAGCTGGCAGGTGGAGGGTCTGGATTTAAGGATGAGTTCAGTGATGTCTTGGACTGAGCGAGGGAAGAAGGTGGAAAATGTAGCTGAGTGATGTGGGGAAGGGAGAGTGATGTCCACTTTGGGGACAGAAGCACTGTGAGAAGTTAGATGTTGAGTGATGTGGGTGACTTTTGAAACAGAAAAGGACATGAGGGCGTGACAGAAGTCAGTGGATTGCAGAAAGAGGGGGAGGGAGTCGGGAGGTTTTGTGAAATTATTTGAGAGAAAAAGGAGCTTTTGAATTATCTCGATTAGAGTGAATTAAACCAGACTTAAACTTAAAAGGTATTCATTCTTACTAGAGACCACTACAAATGTATCAATTAAACAAGTGAACCACGCCTTTAAACAAGGTAAAACAGGTCTACGGTTCGTATAAAAAAAGTTTATGACTTTTTTGCACAAAGTCAGTTTCATATGAAGGGATCTGAGCAGCTCTGTTCTGGACATTTTCAGTACCAACTTCTAGAATGACCCGTTTCATGGCTCTGTCACGTTGATGTAAATAAGCTGTTTCTGGCCACGCTCACCCATCCCCTGATTGCGCCATATGAAGTGAGGAGCTTGGTTATCCGGAGGGGGCTAGAAGCTGGGGCTGCTGCTCCACATCCAAAGTGAAATCCTGCCAAAACCAGGTGAGGGGGGATTCTATGCTAATTTTCCTAATTGTGATGTCACAATAGGGGACATTTTGAAATGGCCTGTAGAAGATTATGATTCCTAGAAGTAAAATCAGACAGAAAATCCATGAAGGGTTTCTATTGACCTTTGAGGTGTTCATACTATTGTAATGTTTTGTAAGTGGTCACAAATATTAAACTGGCAATGAAATGTGAAAAGTATTCAACAAGATATTATGTTCATGAATATATGGATCATTAATATTTTTGAGCATTTAACATCCAAATTACCTATTTCCAGTGTTAACTGGATATTAAAGTGTCAATAATACTAATGATCCATTTATTTATGGAACGTTACATCTTGTTGAATGCCTTTCATATTTCATTGCCAGTTTAATTATCACAATCTGCTCCTGCCTCCCTGACTGTGACTCTCCCCTGCCTCCTGATTAGTTTTATTTGTCTCACCTGCCCCTTGCTAACCTGCCCATGTGTTCCTGATTTTCCCCTGTGTATGTATACCTCCCTCTTTATATCAGTCAACGTCGGATTGTTGTTAGTCGTGTTGTTTCTGCCGTACCCTGTCATTAAACCCATTGTTACTTTATCCGTGCCTGCATTCCTGCCTCCTGGTCAGCTCCACCACTCATGGTCCACCAACTCCTACACCTCAACATGACCACTTACAAAACGTTACGCTATGAATCCGAAATAGCAGGGGCCCGAGAACAAACCTTGGGGTACACCACAGCAAAGATGTCTTTAAGGTGACCTATAAAGTGAAGCAGCAACACTAACTGAACAATCACTAAGGATAGAAGATGGCCTCTGTAAGGCAGATCCTGATACACCAGCCCATTACCTAAACCTGTCTAGTAAGGTGTGGTGGTTGCTTGTATCACAGCTGAGGGAGGCCAAGCATAAGAAGAGCCATCTCTGTCAAATGACCTCTACGGAGGCCTGGTTAAAACTGATCCAGAATGCTACGTTTGCTAAAGCAGCAGGTAGCTGCTTGGCCACAATCCTCTCGATAATTTAGTACATAGCTTTTCACATTTGGATTGATGACCGCATTGTTCATATTAACCAGAACCTGATGGCTGGATTGGAGTTAGTGAGACCAGTGGGGCCCTTGCTATGGACTGGACCCTGGGGCTGATGGTGATAAAACAGCTTTAAAAACAGGTGCTGGAGAAATATCTGAAGAGGATGTAAGAGGGTTTATTGAGGGGTCAAAAATGTAAAATAATTGTACCTGGGATCTTGTTTTTACCAGTTTGTCCTGAATTGACTGTTTTAAGAACAAGCCCTGACTTTACATGGTGACCTTTAACCTCCTCTGAAAAGACCATAGTAAATGCAGCTTCTGTGTTCCAGCACCTGCTGTTTTCTGCATCCTTTGCACATCGTCGATCTCATAGACTTTTATCTCGTACGCCTCAGGAATTCCACGATCTGTCCAGCGAGACCGCAGACCGCTGGCTGAGCGCTTCATAGACAGAGGTGCATCATGGGAAAGACCTGAAACAGAGTAAAAGGTGAATCTCGTCATTTTCTCTTTTGAAGAAGACATATTGATGTATCAGACAGCTTTTTGGTCCACTATGGCTGCTGCTGAGCCACTTCTTCAGTGACAGTGTGCATTAATCTGGATTTAGTCAACAAAGTAATTTGGGCTGAAAGTAAGTTTTACTTGTACTCTTTCTGGATTGAAAAACTTTAAGTACACAAATAAAGTGATTTTGTGTACTTTGCATCAGAATATTAGAATTTCCTTCACCACAAAGCAGATTTTTCTTGTTCCATCAGCAGCCTCATAGCTCTGCCTGCTCACATCATCGCTTCTGTAGGAAGAGCAGATTGCCAACACCCATCTCCATAATTCAGTTTTGTTAGCCTAGCACATGAATTTCTACATTTATGCTTCTGTTAGTGAGTGCAACACCGGGTTCATGTATTAATTATGCCACGTCGTACCTAGTTACACTTTAACGCGGGGGAGGAGCCTAGGCCTGGCTGCGTTTTACAGCCACGTGTCACTTCTCATTAGCGTCACATTAATATGTCATGGGGCCAGATTACAAACCAAAACTCACATACTGGGACAGCAGCAGCTCGGGAGCTAGAGCAGGGTGTTCAGTACCGGAAGGTTGCTGGTTCGATCCCGGCTCCGGCCAGAGAATGCTGTTGTCGTGTCCTTGGGCTAGACACTTAACCCACCTTGCCTGCTGCTGGTGGTGGTCGGAGTGCTCGACAGGCCTCTCTTGTCAGTGCGCCCCAGGGCAGCTGTGGCTACATCGCAGCTCATCCCCACCAGCGTGTGAATGTGTGTGAAAGGGTGAATGACTGATTGTGTTGTGAAGTGCCTTGGGGGGTTGTAGAACCCTAAAATGCGGGTTGTTTACTTTACAGAACTACGGTCATGCTCTGTTGTTATTCAGTAAAACAACTTCAGAGGTGAGAAGGGAAACACGAACATTACTTGTTAGGAGTGTGAGCGGTACATTTTAAAGTAAAATTAAACGTTTTTAAACGAGGCGCGTGTCCATATCCAGTGTTAAACAGCCAGAGGTGTCACCAAGTCACTGCTTTAAAAGTCACTAGTCTTTCCAGTCGAGTCTCGAGTCAAGTCCAAGTCAAAGACAACCAAGTTGAGTCCAAAGTCAATGATGTGGGAGTCCAAGTCCTTAACTTTGAATTTTCAAGTCATAATCAAGTCATCTGTCCAACTTCAATTTAATGATAAATGACTCGCTTCTGTATAGCGCCTCTCAGAGTAAGGACTCCAAAGCGCTTTACACTACAGTGCATCATTCATCCATTCACAGACTGATGGTGATGAGCTACCATGTAGCCCCAGCTGCCCTGGGGCGCCCTGACAGAGGCGAGGCGATGATAATAAACAAATCCCAGAAATAAAGCTTCTCACGGCTCCTGCTGCTGCATTTAGCAGTAAACCAACCCCAGAACCAAGAATGATTTATGATTTTTGTCCATGTCGGGCCACGTTTGTGCTAAAATATCAAATATGCTCAAGTCATCGTCAAGTCAACAGATGCAAATCCGAGTCAAGTCGTAAGTCTTTATAGATTTTATCAAGTCAAGTCAGAAGTCATTAAAATACTGACTCAAGTCATGTGACTCGAGTCCACACCTCTGGAAACAGCAACTCATGTAGTGTAGGTACCAGATCTGTTCCAGACCCAGTGTCTGTTGATGTTTTTATTTATGTTTATTTATCATGCAGACGCTTTTATCCAGAGCGACTTACAGTTTATGTCCTGTAGGGCGTGTTGTGATCTGTGGGGGAGACCGGAGAACCGGAGGAAACCCACGCGTGCATGGGGAGAACACGCAACTCCACGCAGAGAGACCGCAGCCGAGTTTCAAACCTGCAATGATGATGTCACTCTGCATGACTGGCTGGGCGTTGGTATGTTGGTGCTCAGGAGTTTGGTTTGTTAGCCTGATCTACTCGGGGTTGTAGTTTTCACTGATGTAGAACGTTTACAGGCATCCACCATCACCTTTCAACCGATACTCCATCCAATAAATAATCCCAGACTGCACCAAATAAATCAATAAATGACATCATCTAAATACTCAAATTACTCACATGGCAAGAAGTAAGCTGTGGGGATGATGCATTTTTATTTATTAAATAACTTCAGTGAACAAACAGCAAGTTTCAAGGATAGAATTAATAAGTATGAAGAAGAATTCAACACTTAAGCAGATAATTATATAAATACATGCAAAAACACACGTATGAACTGCATTTAGAGGCTTTTTGTTGGTAGAGTCCGAAACTGATCATAGTGCTTAGCTTTGTAAAAAAAACAATGGGGGCAAAATTTAGTTTGTGCAAGTGGCCTTGTGTCAGTGTGATGTCATCAGTAGGCCCTGGGCAGATCAGGCTGCTTGAGCCCATCTGGTCCAAATTCAGCAGATGCATCCTTTGAAGGATCCTTCCTACCCTGTCGAGGTAGGCTAGTTACTTTGCTGACCAGGACGGCTATGGAAGAGGCTGGTGCTGTTATCTCACATCCAGGATGATGCCAAACAGATGTTAAAGCAGACGCAGCAGCAAAAGGAGAGGGCGCGTCCACAGCCAGACACAATGTGGACATTTCCAGCAAAAGTCCTGAAGTTTGACTGAACCTGAACAGATCTACCAGCTGGAACGCCTACTGGAACGTTGTTTGGGAATTTACTGTTACTGGCGTTTTATTTGAACGTTATTAAAGCCACACCTGTTTAAAAAAAGAAAACCTGAAATCAGAACCAAGGAATGTGTTGAACCGGGATTATAGGCAGACTCTTACAGACAGTTATTTTTATCACGTTTTCATGAGTCAGCAGATTTTGGTTTTTAGCCAGGAAGCCTTGCATTTTCCAAAATGGACTTTTCAGGAAAGGAGGAAAACATATTAGGCCCGGTCCACAGGGGCAAGATAGTTATGCCAGTGTCATGTCTCGTGCTTGCCGATGCTGTTTTGACGCCGGCTGCCTGAGTAAATTGTTTGTGAGACTTGTGTGTGCACATCACACGTAGGTAGCATCATGTCAGTGTCACCAAACAACCCCTCACTCTGCTGCTGATCTAGAAACGACACAAGCCGCTGGTCCCACTCATGTCAAGGCCTTTTAGCACTTAGCGGACTCGCTATTGAAGCCGCCATCTTGCATCTTAGTCTTGGTCAAGGACCGTCATTAACCACAGCTGTTAATATGCTGAATTAAACCAGCAATTTCTCCATGAGAGTACATCGTTGGCTTGGGTCCATGCTGATTAGTAGTTTGGTTTTAGAATCCGTGTGGCGGTTTAACATCACTGCGTTTATCTGAGACAACATCTAGTTGTTTTTGAGTGGCTTTACTCAGTGGGGTTATTGTAGGTCAAAAGAAAACAATAAATGTGAGCTTTACATTATTAATCAGCAAATTATCATGAAAAGAGCTAAACTATGAAAACCAAACCATTTACGGGGTTTTGTTCACACAAAATTGCCAGAAGTGGTACCGAGTCATGGTTTTATAAGCCTTTTGCTGTTTTTTAAGGTCTAGTCTAAATCGACCCGGAGTGACATGAGTCTGACCCGAGTCCAAGTCACGTGTCTCCAGTCTGCACCTCTGATAATTACCCAACCTAGAGCTATTAAACCGTAAAATATACATAACATACACGGGTGCTTTGGATTGCAGCCTATGACCATTCAGTCATCTAGTTCAGTCAGTAATCCAGCATGTGAGAGGTTTTACCTGCATTCCCTCTCCTGCGAGATGATCGGCTGCTGCGAGCCGCACTGAGCAGCGAGCCGCTCCGATCGCTGATGGATCCTCGGTTAGAGGCGCTGCTGCCGGTGCCTTCGCTGTCCCTGACCAAGCTGTCGTAGCCACTGCTCACCAGACTGCTCCTGTTAGAGAAGTGTAGGGATGTCTTTCCCATGGCTGGTGGCAAGTCTCCACTTAAAACACTGGTGGTGTCACTCGCATGCCCATTCAGGTCATCGGGAATGCGTGGAGCGGTCACTTGGCTGTATGGGGAGGGGAGAGGTGTCATGTGATCTAATCCTGCCAGTGTTGGGCTGGGGGCCCGTTCCCTGAGGAAATCTGAGATCTTGCTGCTAACAAATCCCTGAATGGCAGATTTTGTAGATGAGCAGGTGGAGCTCTGGCTTGGGGTCCGGCTGATGGAGCGGTGAGATCGTGGAGGGGAGGAGGAAAAAAAGGAAGAAGTCCTCTCAAAGCTTACTGTCTTGCAGTCTGGTGAAAGACTGGCGCTGCGGTTGGACTGCTGCAGGCTTTTATGGGACATGCTTAAGCTCTTGATGCTAGGGGTGGACAGTCGACGAACTTTAGGGCTTCCCATCCTAAGCTTTCCTACAGCTGAAAGCTTGGAAGGAGAATTCTTCGCAGGCGAGGATGTTGAGTTTTCAGAATGAAAGAAGTGATGTCCCAGGTCAGAACGAGGATTCCTCCTGGGACTCTTATTGGACCGGGGAAATGTGCATTCTCTATCACAGTTTTCTTTACAACCAACTTTCCAAGCAGCTTCAGCACTTCCCCGGGAGCTTCCTTTAGAGCTCACAGAGGTGTTGCTACTGCCTCTTTCCAGGGTTGGAAAATCTCTCGGGGTCCTTCCGAGGGAATTGGTCCTAGTCGCCAGCTGCTCTAGTTTGGTACTGAAGAGCTTGCTGCTATTCTCAGCGGGGGATTTTAGCCTGCTGCAGGGGTCATCAAGTTTTCTTGTCCAACTTGAGGTCATAGAAGACCCTGTGGCCTTCCTGAGAGCACCGCTAGGATCCTGTTTGAATTTTGTTGCTAGCTTAGGCGAGGAGGATGAATGGAGGCCGTGGTCTGCTGCAGACCGCTGTCTGCCATGCCTCGTCTCCAACACCTCCCCCGGGCTACAGGGGGTAGATGATGTCACCTCCCTTAAGTGGCTCTCTTGGTGGGTGAGGTTTCGCCAGGCCTTTGGTAAACTGCTTGTTTGAGAGGAAGCAGGGTTGGTTTCTTGGCAACCAGGGACAACAGCTGTTCTCTGGGGGATGTTGTCAACAGGTCTGCTGGTAGATGCTGCCCCAGCTGAGAGCTTTTCCCTGTTAGTGAAACAAACAAGCTGACGTTGTCTGGGGACACTTGGGTCCATATTCTCGTGTCTCTTTTCACACATTTTGCTTTTGTCTGTTTTTTGGGGGCGGTCCTTGTCTCTGAAAGCGTCTTTGCCATAAGACATTTGAGCAGAAGCTGAGTAACATTCTTTTTCACACTTCTTTGTCTGATGTGTCCCATGACTTCTTCTGTTTGGTTCATCGGTTATTTCCTTACCTTCTTGACATTCAGCAACGTTCTTTTTGAGCTCAGACCCTACTTTGACTTTGTTTAAAGTTTCCTGGGGACGTTCCTTTCCTTTGGCACCATCCAAGTCACAGCCTAGATCGGTATCGATCAACGTGGGATTTATAAAGGAAGGCAAGAACCCCTTTTCTCTTCTGAGTGGATAACTGTTCTTCTCTCTACTTGCACCTGAGTCTGTGGGCTGAACAACAGACGAACCGGCTGCAGCAGAAGAGTCATCATCACTGACATTGCTGATAATCTTTATGGGATGACAGCTGGCGGCAGTCTGAACATGAGGCTGTGCAGGTTCTCTTATGCAAATGATGTTTCCTCCTGTGTTCCCTCTGTCGTATGCACCGCTGAAGGTCACCTCCTCCACCATTGAGAGGACAAGTTCATCTTGACCTGTTTGGTCCAGCGGCTGCTGAACAGTCACAGTGATAGTGGCCTTCATTTCCTTAACAGTCTGTGTGGTGCGGTTAGGCAAGATGTCACCTATTACGATGCTTTTAGCGAGGGAATTCGGTGAGCAGGAGGAGGAAGGAGATATGGGTGAGCTCTTGCCTACTGGTGAAGCTCTTTTGTCTGCCTTGAACCAGTCAGCAGACTCCTGACACTCTTGTTTATCTGATGGCTGACGATCAGACGGACTAGCAGTGGTCTTTCCCCTAGAGTCCTGCTTATTTCCTGAGTTACTAGGTCTGGTGTTGGGAAACTCGGAACGACCGGTCATGCTCAGACCCAGAGTCTGATTCAGCAGTTCCTCGCTGGAACTTGTTCCACTGCACTCCTCACAGTCAAACAGACCAGAGTCCTCTCTCTGAAAACTGTCTCCAGAGGAAGCACCATCAGACTTCTTCTCTCCAAGGGCGGTCTGACTGTAACCCATCCCCGTAGTCAACAATGTCTGTGATGCTTCGGATGTTTCTTTTGGGATTCGTGGTTTTGTTAAAAGGTTCTTAAGAGAAGCACTTTTTAAGGAAGACTTTAGCACGTCCATGGTCATCTCGCTTCCATCAATACAACCTAAACGTTCCTGAAGTTCAGCAAAGGTATCACATTTGAGACAGTCCCTCTCTGGTGACTTCCTTTCTGTTTTTAAAGCATCCACACAGCCCTGGACTGCTTCCTCTGCCTTCTTTTCTTCGTGCAGCTGAGGAATTCTCAGAAGTTCTTCGAGAAGAGCCGTAAACTCTAGGTCATCCAAATCACCTTTGTTGGGATGCAAAGAAGGTATTATGGGCACAAACCTAGGTTGCGTGAGGAGAGGGGCTGCTTTAGAATGGACAGAACCATCTGAATTTATTTGGATGACAGTGTCACAGGACTGGTCGCTGCTGGAACGATCCAGCCGACCACGAAGGCAGAAAGGCTGACCGTCCAAATCTACTTCTTCAGTGGAGTGAAATGCTCTTAAGGGCAAAGCCCCCCGTTTTTCTTTGGGTAGACTCCTTCCACAAGGAGAACGTGATGTAGATTGCTGTTGAATAAAGATAAATCATGTCATTAAAGTTTCTCATAAAGCTTAAATTAGGGTCAAAAGTCAACGAGGAAATTATTTCTATGATTTTTTTACTTCTTATGGACCTCTCGGCCCCAGACCCTTCCACCTAGAACACAGTTACTGTGTTTGACCGTTTGTGTGATGATGTTCAACATAGTTTTTGTTGTTTTTATGGAGTAGGTGGGGGATGGGGGATGGGGGGGGGGGGGGTAATATTGAGGAAGGGATTGTATAAAATCTGAAGAAACTTCCACTTTATGATGGACCCCTGATGGGGCTGGGCGATATATCGATATTTTTAAAACATCGATATAATTTTTAAACAAGATACAAGATGACTTTATATCTTTATATCGATGTAGCTGGTCAAACTGCTTATGCTAGCGATTAGCCGCTATGCTAGCGACATGTTGTTCCATCTCTAAGCAGTTATTACCAACGACATTAATATAGGTTATTACGTGTATTCTCACAATTCTGCTCAACCTGAGAGCCCCTGTGTGAATGTGCTGCTCTAAACTGCATTTGGCTTCCTGGTTTTTAATTATTTGGGGACGTTCAACGCCAACGGTGTTCTGTTTTCCATCCTACTTGTGCGGAGAGACGAGCCAAACCCCTCCCTCCCCTGTGTAATGGGAAACATCTACAGATAGCTGGAGTGGCCAAATTACCTCAAACTTATTCTAAAGATTTGAATGGTAAACTATAGGGTAAATGTTTTATTTTGAAGGCGATTATAATTTAGATTATAATTACTTTCTCTTTTTTCAAGTTTCTTTTGAATATTTATTGGTAGAATTCCTTTATGTGCTTTGTACATACGTTTTAATAAATTATATTCTACTGGTTTGTCAAATTTCATGAGGTCTAGTTGTGAAAACATCGGATCAGTGTGATCCCTGTATCCACTTCCACTAATAACGCTCACCGCTCTTTTCTGAAAAAGAAGAATTGAATGTGTGTATGTTTTGCAGGTACTTCCCCATACTTCCATACAATATGTCAGATATGTAAGTATTAACGAGTTATATAGAATATGCAAAGCTTTTATGTTCAACAATTCCTTCGTCTTATTTAGTACTGAAATAGCTCGAGATATTTTTATTTTAATATAATTTATGTGAGACTTCCACGATAAATGTTCATCAATAATAACACATAAAAACTTTACTTCTTTTATTCTTTCTATCCCAATTCCTTCAACATTTATTGATGCATCAGCACTTTTTTTACTACTACAAAAAACTATAAACTTAATTTTATCGATATTTAAAGAAAGCCTATTGATATCAAGCCATATTTTAATTTTTGTAAATTCATTTTCAACTACATTTAAAACATCTTTTATATTTTCTCCTGAATAAAATAAGGTAGTGTCATCTGCAATAGAGTAATGGTCCAAAGACCGATCCTTGTGGTACTCCACAACTAATATTATGTATAGAGGATTTTATATTATTAATTTCCACAAACTGTTGTCAGTTCGTCAAATAACTTCGGACCCACTCATGTGCTACTCCTCTAATCCCGTATTTGTGTAGTTTATCTAATAATATTACTTGATCCAGCGTATCAAACGCTTTTTGTAAATCTACAAAAACACTCACCAAATATTGTTTATTATTTATTGCTATTGAAATCTCTTCTAAGTCAGTTATTGCAGTTGAATGATTAGAACGAAACCCATATTGACTATTATGCAAAACACTATGCCTATGAATAAACTTTTCCAGTGTAACAACAAATAATTTTTCCAGAATTTTTGAAAACTGCGGAAGCAGTGATATTGGCCTATGATTAAGTACTCATGCTTATTTCCACCCTTATAGAGTGGTATCACTCTAGCAGTTTTCCTATTTTCTGGAAGTATTCCTTTAACAAATGATAGATTGCATATATATGTAAAAGGTTTAATAACTGCGTCTATGATGTTTTTCACTAGAGACATATTCATATCGACATAATCATCTGGAGTCTTGTTCGGACACTGTTGCACTATTTGTAATATTTCACTCTTGTCTACTTTATCAAGAAAAATACTATCCACAATATCTTTTATTGTTTTTCCAGCATTAATTTAGAGATATATATCGTAAATCGGAATTCAGCAAAAAGATATCGAGATATAAGTTTTCGTCCATACTGCCCAGCCCGGACTCCTGACCTTTAATACCACTGGGCACTTCTTCTGGACCTTGAAAAGCAGCCATCCAACCTTTGAGCTTTTACTTGTGTTTACTGTTTAAAGCAGACACAGTGTGACTTGCTTAAATGTGAAGTTCACTGAGAAACACATTTCTACTTGTCATTTTTTAAATTTGATTGGTCAGTCTGAATTTTTCATGCAGGCACATGAAAAAGTATTCTACCCCAATTCCCTGCATTGGGGGTCTTCTGATAGGGGTCTTAAACTCTATTTCTCTGACTAAGGCCATTAAAAAATCCATCTGTAATGGTTCAGATAGCGCTTATTTATAACTTTTGCACAGAAACACACTTAAAATAGTCTGAAACATGCCCCTATGGGCCCATTTGAGCTTGTTGACTTGCAGCTGAAACAGTACCTTCGTCCTCTTTTGTGTCCTGCGTATGCGAGAAGCCAGTTGGATAGTCGAGAAGCTCTCTTGAAGTTGAGCCAATGAGTCAGCAACTTGAGCAACTACAGCAACGTGGCAGTTTGAGTGGAGCATTGATTCCCGGAGGAGCATGGACAGTTTACTGACCCTGTGCAAAGACAGTAGCCAGATAATGACCCAGGACATGCTTCAGCCCGTTGGTGGCCAAATATGTGTAGACAACATGCTAATCATGAGCTCCGTTATAAGCAACCGATAGTGTTGAATATAAATCTGAATATGGGTTTGTAACTTACTAAATGTACACACCAGTATAATTTTGAAGTTACACATTAGTCTTACTTGCTGGGGGTGGTTTTATGTCCACCCAGGAGAGACAGGACAATGGGCCCCAGTTCAGAATGAGTGGGTCTACTTCTGCTCACACCTCTCATACCACTACACACATCAATCATGGTCAGCTTGGGGGGGCCTTTTGAACCTGAGAATAGAAATGACAGGTAAGGGAGATCTTCACACATACCCCTAAAGGACTGTAGGTAAACTATAGCAGCGCTTGGTTGTGTTAATGCCTAACCAACATGCAGATTCAGACGGCTGTAGATCGAAAGGAGCCTACCAAAATGAAAGCAGACTGAAGAGATTCCCCAACGATTATTGAAATAGTCAAACACAATCTTCCATCAAAAATATGTTAAGAGGATAAATTCACCCTCCTATGCACTATTTTTAAGTCACCTTGCTGTAGATGGATATTTCATACCAACCTTTGCCAATGGTGCTGCTCTCTGTACGCGGAGGCTGGATGTAAAGGGTGAAGAACATTATAGAGCTGTGACACAGGTATGTAACAAAGTCTGTGCGTCGACGAGCTGCGATGGCAGCATCCAGTAGGGAAGCGGCCCGCTCCGCCGTCGGAGCCTTCACTCGGTTATGGTTACGTATCTAGATGGAAGGACAAAAGAACCATTTTGGTCTTGACTGTGCTTGGAGACATTAGCTAATTAATTAAACTGAGGCTGTTCAGTAAGCTACGACTGGAAGTATGGTTGTTTTCTATAACCGTTATGGAAACCGACTTTAAAATGGCAGAGATATCCTTTTAACCCTCCCACTGCCCTATTAGGTGGTCCCTCCCCGACAAAGGATGGTTGAACAGGGTTAGGGTCCAAGAGGCAGGGGTGAGGTGGTTCTCATGCACCAAAAATCGAAAAAGACACCTGGGGTTCATGGACCATGTTAGAGAAGCGAGTGGGTTGTAAAAAGAAAAAAACACATTTCAGTGAAAACTCTGAACAGAGGGCTTGCTGCAGCAGGACTAGTCATGAAACTAAGAGAAAAGGAAGCAAAACATGTTACAACCCTCATGGAGGAGAGCGTGAAGGGAGGGTTGATGTTATAAAAGAATAAAAGAGGTCAGCGTGAGTTTGGAAGTAAAAGTGTGTTTTGTTTTTTCAAACAACACACATGTTCGACCAACGGTTCGGGTAACCGACTATTGACCGCTAACGGGCGTAAACAGCCGGTTAAAGACATTTTGGAAAGCGTGCATCCTTAAAATGTAGCAAAAAACCAAAACAATGTAAACAAGATCACCAAAGAATTGCTTCTTAATACAAACCAAAACCTGAATTATCACAGCGGCGACTACTACCACCAAGATCACAGGATAAAAAAATGAACTAAAGTGTTGCCCAACAATCTCTACGACACTTCTGAGGTCTACTTTCACACCCGAATAACAGCTTGATCTCTGCGACCTGAAGACTAACAGAAACAATTCTGTAGCTCTCTGAGAAACATCTGACAGCGTTTGATCCGGTTCCTCACCAGGCTTGGTGCTGACGCAGTCACAGAGGGAGGGGCAGGGTAGGAGGCCAGCAGGAGCTAGGAGCTGTCCAGGGTGCTGAACCAGCCCAAGTTTGGCGCAGAGCTGTTGCAGCACGGCCCAAAAGACCATGGGCCGTTACAAGTATGCTACTCATGCAGTGACTTCTACGGTGTTTTCTAAAACACAAGGATGCACTGTTCTTTAAGTGTTACATCACTTTACTGAATGTTAATTCTAAAACGGGATTTTCAAATTATCATCCAGTTTTCAATGCTTGAGAGGCCACACACAGTAGTAAAACTGTATGTCCGTTTTAGTCCTGCAGTGTGTTGTGCAGCACCTCTGCACATATACATATGAACCGCTTTCATTCATGGACTTTCCGTGCTCAAACACCTCAAAAAGTAACATCACTGTGAAGAAAACATTTTTCAGACCAAGACATTCCGACATATGTGAAAGTCCAGATTTACAAACTTGATGTGCTTCAAGTAGACCTGCGTGCTCATAACACACCACACAATGTAGGACTATCTGCTAAGATTATCTTTAGATCCGTTCGTGCAAGCCGTGTGAACTGGGTTTTACTGCCACCTGGGCCAGAACACTACTGTTTTTTAGTGGTTACACATACTTTTACTACCTTTTGGCTCTAGCGTGCCCTGTTAACTAAAGTACCACACCATACCATACACCTTTATTTCTATTGCACATTTCAAAAACGACATGGGAGCCAACCAAAGTGCTGCACAAAACAATCATAAAACCACATCACAATAGAGAAAAGAACAATCAGTAAAAACACAAAATAAAAGGGTCACTGTCCAAAAGCCGAGTTGTAGAAGTGAGTCTTCAGCCGAGATTTAAAACCAGCAATGGATGAAGACTGCCTAATAGAGGGGGGTAGTGCCAAATAGATTCAATTGTACCAAATTATTTATGAAACAGCCCATGAGCTTTAATCCTGTTTGGGCTCTTTATCCAGCTCCCCTTCTCCCCTTCAAAGAAAACATATTCCCATACCTGTATCCCGTGGGTGGGGTCCTCTTGGACTCTGACATGGGCTTTTGGACTGTCCTGGATGCCCCCCGATGATGGGCCGACCTCCCCCAGCAGATCCCTTAGAGTGTCCTCCTCACCACAGCACAGTTCGATGGCGGACACAGACACCGTCAGATCAGTCCATGTCCTCTCTCTGCGCCGCTCGATGGCACCGTACAGCCAGGAGATGGCAAAGGGAATCAGACCAAGCTTTTGGATGTTCTCACCACTGCCCACCATGCTGGACCAGGATCCTGATTTAAAAACACCACATGTACAGTTCTGATGAAAGGGAAAAGAGTCGCCGTATTTTACGACTCAAATACTGAACGAACAGCTTTTTTCCTAGATGGAATTATTATATAACCCAAAACTTGTCTGTGTGTATATGTATGTGTACACACACACACACACACACACACACACACACACTGAACCCATGTTGTATTTCCCCTTTGAGACAAATTGGTCTAAATCATTAATTAAAAGCCCAAAGTCATCGTGACCATGACTATGCGTATATTAGAAGGAGTAGCTTTTACATCAACATTAACAAGTGTTCATATGAGAAAATGTGCTTTTTACACGTACAAAACATTCAAGGTTAAAGCAGTTATTCAGATACGTGTCAGCTAATACAACAAGACATATTTTCTACTACATTTGATTTGAGTTATGGGCCAGTTTTATGTTTATGTTTGTTTATTAGGCAGACGCTTTTATCTAAGGCGACTTACAGTTTATAACCTATAGGGCGTGTTGTGATCTGTGGGGGAAACCGGAGTACCCGGAGGAAACCCACGCATGCATGGGGAGAACACGCAACTCCACGCAGAAAGGCCACAACTGGGTTTTGAACCTGCAACCTTCTTGCTGCGAGGCGACAGTGCTAACCACTGTGCCACCATGCAGCCTGTTTTAGCTACTCTCGTCTTCTCCAGACTCTAATTGAATGAGGATAAGAGAATCGGTTTACCCCAATTAAAGGCCAAGCTGCCAGCCGTTACTCAGAGGGGAAAGCTTTCCTGTTCAGGAGATGGATCTCCCCCCGGCCCCGGGCCGCGGGCCGCGGGCCTCGGGCCGTCTGCATCAGCCCACTGATTCAATCAGGCTCACGGAGAATGGCGTCATGTGAAAAAACATGGAGACCCTGTCCTTACCGTGTGTGTGTGTGTGTGTGTGTGTGTGTGTGTGTGTGTGTGTGTGTGTGTGTGTGTGTGTGTGTGTGTGTGTGTGTGTGTGTGTGTGTGTGTGTGTGTGTGTGTGTGTGTGTGTGTGTGTGTGTGTGAGAGAGAGAGAGAGAGGGATAAATCTCTTATTGTCCTTCACGAGCTCTAAGTGCGGGTCCCATCTTCCTAACAGATCACATTCCATTTTGTTTACAGTTGATTTGAGTTTAAAATAAATAAATAAATAAATATCTGAGCCTTTTGGCTGAAATGTTAGAGCGGGAGGCTTTTAAAAAGATCTGTGGTGTATTGATGCACATGATTTGATTTACTAACAGGTGAAAGATTGATCCGATTTCGAGAGTCACAACTAAAAAAGACAAAAAGGGGAATTTTTAAGGAAGTTTAAGATCTAATGAAGACCTGTAGAGGGACAAGAACCTAAACCGGAGACGGGGTGACAGGATGAACGATAGGAGGAGTGAGACAGGGGTAATTGGGAGGGGAGGGGATTATGGGTAAGAGCACCCCACTCTCATCTCTTGACTGATAACTCACCCACATCAGCACTTCCCAGACCTAGAACACATCCGTCGCTGCCACTAAGGACACAGCGGATGACATCAGTCAGGACACCGGCACACACCTCAGCCTGGTCACACAGAACAAAGCCCAGTGTTCATCTCAGGAAGGGTTCACGGGTGAAGAGCATACGCTCCAGCAACAGCAGGAAGATTCACACTGTTGTTAGGACAGAGAGCCAAACCTGGCCTGAATCCTGAGAAAAAGCTGCATCAAAGCTGAAGGTCTTCAGTGGACGCTTGCCCTGCCGGCCCAGTGTCAGTGAGGAGTACGGTAGAGTTTTGGTCACCGGATCCATTATGGTGACTCTTTTCTTGGCTGGGTCGATCCAAAGAACAGGCGGCTGCTGGTCTTGGCTCTCGGACAGCAGCCGACTCACCCTCAGCACGACTTTGACCTGTGCACCAAAGGACAAGTAGAACCATGGCGGCATGTCAGCATGCAGGGATTTCTTGCATTTCATAAAATGAAAGGCAAATCTCGCTTTTACATCTGTTTATGCTGCCGCATGGACGTAATTTGGGGGGGGGGGGGGGACATGTCCCCCCCACTTTTTCCAAAGTCAAGTTTTGACCCCTGCACTTGTTACCATCCAAAAACAACATTACGCTATATTAAATTGACACTGGTTGAGCTCTAGGACCAAGCGGAAGACAACCGTTTGTGTTGAAGCCTGTTTCCCATTAGAACATACTGTAAAGCCCCCCCCCCCCCCCCCCCCCCCGTGTGTCCCCCCCCCCACACACACACACACACTTCTAAAGTGAAAATTATGTCCATGTGCTGCCGTGTGTGTCTTCAGTGATTCCATAAACACTCCAAGTGGGAATGAAAACTGTCCATCTGTTTCCTGTCAGAGTTTGCTTTTAGAATCTGCCATTTCAAAAAGTCCTTCATTGTGATGTCACAAGGGACAGAAGCACAGAACTGAGCATGTATTGATCGTTGAACTAATATAATTAAAATAAAAGATGTCTCCTTTAACTTACTAGTCTGAGAACAGAATCAAAAACAGAAACAAGTCAAGTGTTGCAACGCTTGGTTTAGGCGACTTGTGTTGAACAAACATTCCTAATGTTCATGGGGGGGTTGGACATGAAACCTAGCTTATGACTCCTGAATATTCCCAACCCACAATGCAACAGGATCAATGCCCCAGGAGAAGCTTGAGAAACAGTACATAAGCTTAAAATCCCAAATATTAGTCCGTTCAACTTTCCACTGCAGTCACCCTTTAGGTTTCTGTCCTGGATCCGTTTCTTGGCCCAGCCCCAACATGACAACAGTCCAATCAATGACATCATGTCTCTACGACTCCAGTAAAAGTGCATGAAAGTACTTGGCATCGGCTCTGTGGTCCGTTTGGAACCGAAATAAAAACCAGAAAGCAAAATAAAATTCACTTGGATCTTGTATGTCAAACCTAAATCTCACCTAACCCTAACCCTACAATCAAAAGAACCCGAACGAACATCCAGCATCCGAACCACAAACAGTAGCCCTCCAGAGATCCCTCTCAAGGCCGCTTGTAAAGGTATTTAATCAGCACGGTGCACTTGTACGTGATTCATTTAAAGAGGTCCTTCTGATATAACGGGTCACTCTTGAGTTTTTCATGCAGGCTGAACATGAAAATAGTCTCCTACACCTATCTCCTGCATTACCTTCTGATAGAATTAGCTTCTGCCACAGAGACAGTGAGTAGTTTTAACTATTCATTCCTGGAAATATCTATCAAACTGTAGTTGAAAATGAATTAAATGATTCCCAGTTGTTGAAAAATATTAGCAGCTTTGTAACATTTAACCATAAAAATCAGGTATGGGAGCGGATCTAAGTCTCTGGGCGACGCCATGTTTCCTTCTACGGTAGCCCATGAGGACAAAAGGCATTTACTGATTTGTAGCAAATGATTACAAAACTTTCATTAGTCTTAAATGTTGTTTTACACATTTCCTTCTTCACTTGTTGCCACCGGGAGCCGGATGTGCCCGTTATTTTGCTAAAGTTTGCATTCCCCGGGGCTTTTTGACCCTAATGGCCACCCGTTGGTAAGGTCTTACTCCAACACAAAAATACTGCTTGCTTGCAGTGATTTAGATATCTACTGCCCCCTATCGCCAGGAAAAATACACACTGTCACTTTAACATTTATGGACTCACCCATCTTGCTCACACAGGGGAAGGCTGTTGTTGGTTTAGCGTCCAGAAAACTGCAGAGAATGTCTCAGCTAGTAGAAGCTAACTATTAGCATTAGCAACTGCACCACACTGCAGAACTCCTCCAGGCTCGTGTTATGTGTGGAGATAAAACATCCATGTTGCAGAGAAAACAGTCAGTGGTAGAGTCATTTTGCTGTTAGCCAATCAGAGGAGAGATGTCCAAATATCAGGAAGTAAGACTCCAAATCTTGCTGTGTTCAGCTCAACATGTGATGTGGCTCACTTCTGGTTCCTGGAATCGGAGCACCGGTGTTTTTCACCCCCTTCCTGAGTGCGACGTACAAGGCGTTCATTCCTACTAGTATGATGAGTGAACCACCTTTAAAGTCTTTGGTATGACCGTGGATTTGAACCCACCACCATCCAGTCTCAGGGCGGCTTGTGGTCCAGTGGTACGATTCCACTGACACCCCGCTCGCGCCACGTTTTGTGTATGAATGTTGTAACAGGTGTGCTACTCTGGTCGTGCATCGAAAACACTTTCTATCGTGCCGTTGGAACATGTTTAAGTTTGCTGCAAGAGGATTTGCCAGTTGTTTGCTAAGTAATCATGCTAGCTGCTGTTAGCAACTCAAGTAGCTAGCATGTATGACATCACTACATTTTGTGCATCTAAACATAACGGCACTGCTTTTGCTGCTGAGGTTTGACAGTTCTGTATGATTTAACGCGGTGAACATAAACTACTTATCACAGCTACCGACGCTTTTCACGTAACAGGCAGCCATGTTGGATTTTCAGGTCAGACTGAGTCAATAATCAATGATAAGTATAATTTAGGGTCAGTAATGAAAGCCAGAGTACAACTCTACGATGTTTATCTCATCCATTAGCGTTTCTCCTGGCCAGGTCGACTTTGCTCCTCCTTTCTTATTCCCGTCCTGATTAGATTACACTCACGTTCCAGCATGCAACACGGAATCAGCTCCACATTCCCTGCTCCGGCTTCAGCTCAGCGAGACTGACAGTAGACATATGCATCCTGACACCCAAACGAACCTGGCTGTCCTGATCTTCCACAGAATCACATTACACCACGATGAGCTCATCATTCATTGACTGAACCGGGAAACGTAACATCCACATTCCTTCTGTCATGTGATCACTTCTTCCTTCTCATGAAAGTAAGAACAGGATGTCTAACGCCGTCCAACACGTGCCAAAACTATTCATGACGAATAAAGAAAACAAGCAGACAGAATCCTCCTATCACTAATGAAGGTCTACATGAATCAGGCGGGGTCCTTCTGAGCCCTCATCTGTAACTCTAGACTGAACCCAGGAGTCCATCTACAAGACAATGGGAGCGCAAGCTGCCATATTGATCTTCTCGGTTTCTCTCCCACAGGAGGCGAGGAGAAGGGTGGGGGTGACGGGATGGAGACATTAGCACCACATTACAGTGTATCGTGGAGGGGGAGTGATACTGGATCTCCTCCAAATTGACTGAGATCTCCTTATGCCGAAACAGGAATGGTAAAAGAACACATCCAAGATCCTGCTCGTGGGTAAGGATGGAGGGATGTCCAGGAAACTGTACAGCAAAATGTTTCTGCACGGTGCTCTCGGGTCTAAACCGGCTCAGTCTATGGGCCAGCAGCAGTCTGGCTGTAACACAGCACCAAATCTTCTCTGAGCTGGAGAAAATAGCTACTTTTATCAGGAGATGGAGACCAACATCCATATTGTGAGTGTTCCAGAGTGACGGCGCATCAGGGTAAGAAGAGAGGCAGATGAGGTGATGCACCCATCAAGCCTAGTGTCAACTGTACAAGCATGTGGGGGCAGGGCTATGATCTGGGCTTGCTGCAGGTGGTCAGGTCTAGGTTCAGCTACAGGATGTGCTCCAAGAATGAGGTCCGCTGACTACCTGGATATCCTGAAGGACCAGGTTATTCCATCTTCCCTGATGGCACGGCCATATTCCAGGATGACAATTCCAGGATTCATCGGGTCAGATAGTGAAAGGGTGGTCCAGGGATTGGCCACCACAGAGTCCAGACCTGAACCCCACTGAGAATCTTTGGGATGTGCAGGAGAAGGCTTTGTGCAGCGGTCAGACTCCACCATCATCGATGCAACACCTTGGTGACACACTAATGCAACACTGGATGGAAACACTGGCGACGTTGCAGAGGGTGGTCGAAACAAGGCCACAGCGAGTGTGTGCCATCATCAAAGCTAAAGGCGGTCCAGCAAAATATTAGTGTGTGTGACCTTTTCTGTGGTGGTGACTGTTTGTTGTTGTTGTTCAGGTAGAGTGGTTAGAGAAGGTGAGAGCTGCCTCAACACGAACCATCTTAAACTGGATTCATCAACACTGTTTGATGCAGTAATCATAAATGTTGCTGGTTCTTTAAAGTTCACCTGCTACTGTCTAAGGATCCTGGTAGAGTAACTAAACACCAATCAGAGATCAGTAAGGAGTGTTTACAATCAGTGTTATAAAGCTAAAACAACGTTTATAACAGATCCGGACATGTTTACAGGAGTACAGAGACACGACCTTTGCACCTTCTAGACAAGCTGATGACGTCTGAGTAGGGTTAGGGTTAGTTTAGATGTTCAACCGTTTCTTTGGGATTTTTCTATCCTTTCACATCCTGAAACCCCCAAAGCACAACGGGGCACCCGAGGTTTTCTGAGGGTTAGGGAACCGGATTGACTTTAAAAGCTGCATTAACACAGCTAATAAACAACTTCATGCAGTATTAGTTTTGTGTGTCAACAAGCAAACAGAAGCAGTTAGATGGACACATGTTCTGGAATGTTAATGAGCTTCACTGTAGGAAAGATAAATGAAGATGTGATGGAGTTTGGCGTCCACCTTGGCCACATCGGGCAGGTCTTTGGTTCGAGCCGCAGCTTGCAGCAGGACGGAGGGGACCGGAGGCGGGTTTTTCTGGATGATCTCCCTGAAGCAGAAGGTGCGACTGGAGGGAGCTGGATCAGAAGCCTGGCCCTTTTTTCTCAGTGTCATGTTGAGCTTCTCAGCTGCGCTGCAGGGATGAGGGAGGAGATGTCAGTGGTCAGGGAGGAAGCACTGCTATAGCAACGGTGACTAATGCACTAAAATACCCCCACTGCATGCAAATGCCCTGGAGTTCAAATTCAAAACGAAGTTATTGCATGGTTTATTATTTCATGCTTTAATCTGGCTTCTTTTTAAACAATGTCAACTGTTTTGGTGTCTATATGTGAGCGGGCTCCTGCTTCAGGAAGTAGAAGTTAGCCGGGGGGCAGAAAGCAGTAACACGTGTTGCTGTTTTAATGTAAAAAGAAGACGATAAATGACGTGATGACGGCCCCGCCTGGATTCAAGCCCAGGTCCCCTGCATGGCAGCAGGGTGCCTCACTAGTCGAGCTATCCTTTTGGCATCTGCAGACAGATAAACATCCATCTTCCTCTCTAGTGCAGTGTGTGCCATAGCGAAGCCAGTAAGGTTTAGACTGAATGTTTCCGTCTGCTACTGATTCACAGTGATGTGAGTGCTGGTGTGGCCTGTAGCAACAGAAAATGCCTCAGGAACATGCTGAAGATGGAAAAAACACTATTTTCATTAGAGTGGAGCTGGTAGGAAGTGACTTACTTAGCCAGGAGCGACATAGCAGCCGTGTTGGCAATGGTCACCATCCTGGAGATGTGAGGGATCCTTGAGCTCGCCTGGATGGTCCCAGCATCACCACAGGTCACCGTGGAGCCATCTGCAGCCTGTTGGGGGAACGCATGAATACCCAAACATGTAGAGTTCATCCTGAAGCTCAGCGGAGAGGTGCTACCATCAGAGGCATGTTGCTGTAACTAGGTTATCTGAGGCTGGGAGCACAGACAGTAAACAGACTCTGTCTGTCTGTGTTTGGGTCTGAGGCATGAAGGATGTGCTTTTTGATCGTACTGAGTTCAGATGATGGCCTTGGTGCACATCTGTACACCAGAAGGCCCCATGTGGAGATACGTTAACAGTAACGGCTCAGAGGTGTCACTAACTCAGTCACTGTTAGCAGTAAACGTGTCTGCATGAAATCACATCCGTGCGTCTCTGCCCAGGTTTCTGTGAGGAACATGAGCCTTAAGTGCTGCAGCGGTTTGAGACGAGGCTGGGCTGATGGAGACTCGGGTCCTCGGCTTCACGTTTACTTCCTCTCTGCTCGAACATCTCTCCCATGCAGTCTTCTATCATCTTGTTTTCTCCTCTCTCTCCCTACCTCTCTCCTGTTTTTCTTCTTCATTCCTCTCTTCATCCCTCCTCTTTTCAACCTCCACGTCTCTTCATCAGAGCGAGAATCCCTCAGTAACCGTTCATGTCATGCTAACTTTCTCCTTCGGTGCACGCCCTGCAGGAACACAGACTTGAGTCCTCGCTCTGAATCAACGAGCAGCCTGCGAGGCCGCCCTGTGTTTCGTATACTGAACATGATCTGCACAAGCAGAGGCTCAGAGAGGTGTCTGGGTGATCACACTGCATCCGTCGTTATAGAACGGATGAACGTATGAATACATCTACACGTCTGACAACCAGCTGTGCTGATTCACTTTTAAATCACTTCAACTGCAGAACTGTTGAAGTCCTCGACACCAGTATCTCTGGCGAGCACTTGGCTCCATGGAGGTTTACTAAACCAGTAACCAATCAGAAAAGAGAATGCAGGAAAGCTACCAGATCACTATGAAATCTTCAGAATGCAGCTGCACACTTATTGTGTTGTTATCTATTTCCTGTGCACACACCCAGCAGGGCTCAGTCAGCTGGTAGAACCTCGGGTCAGAACCAAGCCTTTTTCTCCAAAGTCATTAATGATAATATGAACCACTCCTGATATTACTGAGGCATTAACACAGCTAAAGCCTAATGTCATATCCCAAACTAAGTCCAATGGGTTTGAATTATTTTTCAATAAGAAATCATAAACATCAGATCAGATTTGTTCCTCCTGATCCCGCCACAGACACAGCCAGACCTCTGTTACAGCCACACAACAGCTATCTGGGTAGAGTGCCAGATTAGTGCTAAAACTCCGAAGAACATAGTTAAGACCTTAAACTCATCTACCTGCTGTCGGGACACCCCGTCAACTAACTTCTTCCAAAGTAGCTGCTTGAAAGAGGATGTACTGAAAACCGTTAGTTGTTCCTTGATGTCGGGTATTTTTCCTAAATCACTGAAAACTGCTGCTGCTAAATATCTTGTAAAGAAAAGGAATTTAGATCCATAGTTGGTTTCAGTCTTATCCTGAAGACATGGATTATGTTGTTGCTATTGGTGATCACAAATCAAAGCTGATCACCGTGCCATGTGGGGTCCCCCAAGGCTCAATTCTTGAACCACTGCTCTTCAATCTCCACATGTTCCCCCTGGGTCATGAACAATAACAACATCACCTATCATAGTTATGCAGATGACACCCAGATCTACCTAGCTCTATCACCTAGGGACTGTGGTCCTCCAGACTCACTCTGTCGGTGTCTGGAGAAAGTTAGTGACCAGATGCAATCAGACATCCTCCAGTTAAACAAAGACAAGACCGAAGTGATCGTCTTTGGAAATAAGAAGGATAGGATGGAAGTTATTGCTCAGCCAGAAGAATAAAGACGAAGATCCAGGTTAGAAATCTTCTCTCTCTCTCTCTCTCTCTCTTCTCTCTCTCTCTCTCTTCTCTCTCTCTCTCAACCCCCCCCCCCTCTCTCTCTCTCTCTTTCTCTCTCTCTCTCTTCTCTCCCCCTCTCTCTTCTCTCTCTCTCTCTCTCTCTCGTCTCTGCCACCTGAGTTGTAACTGTGGTTCCCTGGCAGTGGGGGAGGGGCGGGTTCACGTTGCAGCAGCTTCCATCACAGTAATGCATATTTCACCGGCTGCAATTTTAAATATGGCTGACACCCCCCCCCCGATCACAAGTGCTTTTTGACTGGCGAGCTTTTATGACGGGTAAATCATGGCCTGATTCCATTAGCAGAAGGACTTTTAAAGAACACGAGATGGAAATAAACTCTGATTGGAACGATGAATCACGGACCTGCTGAGGCAGGCTCTCATGAAGACATGCACTAACCGTCGCTCATTAGGGGCTGGGGGGGGGGGCTGAGTGATGCGGTGCTTACAGCGGGCTTTTAGGGGTACCTTATGGTGAGAATGTAGGCTGACACCATCTGTAGTGGATGTAGATTTGGAGCCCACCAGCTGCTGCTGCTCCTGCACCCATCGGTCCATATCGTGGTTGGGAAGCTTGCCCCCCCTCCGTCTGAGGGTCTGAGGGGTCCTCTGAGGAGTCCTCTGTGTGGTCCTGGGGCTCCGTGAGACCTGAGGGCTGTGTGATTGGCTGCGTGCTTGATGCACAGCCTCCCCTGTGACTCTGTCTTCGTGCTTCGTCTCAGTGTGTCCCAGCACTGCCCCAGCTCGGAGACCGGGCCCAAGCTGGGGCCTTGCTAATGAGCGACCCCGACTCAGAGCCAGGTGGATGGCCTCGTGTTTGAGCTGGCTCAGGTTAGCACCACAGGCTCCACACACACCCAGCTCTCTCTCCCTCTCCCTGGACTCTGTGTAGGGACGGGTGTGGACACGAAGGTTGTCATGAAGAAAGGATGGAAGGTCGCTGGTTTCCTGCAGAGTTTGAACAAACAAGCAGGAAATACTTTCAGAATCCTGTAAAACTTCAAGCTTGGAACTTTCTCATGTAAAAAGATGTTGTTCGTACTCCTGGAGTGTCCGTTAGTTCGGTGTGTTGCAGGAACCAAAGTTTACGTTTCAGGAATCATCGTTGCACGACGCGTTATTGTGTCTGTTTTCCTTTCCTCACACAAGGACCTGCTCTTACACATAAAATCAAAAATAGTCCGACGGGAACCAGACTCACATGTTCTGTTGGCCATGCTAAGTGTAGCTCCGCTCAGCCTCGGCTCATCGTAAACACAGCTGATCGGTACACGAACACTCATTTTTAATGCTTCGTTCACTTTTACACAAGACCTGGAAGAGAGACTGCTTTTCCTTTAGCAGCGTATAAACATGATGCTAATGTGGAGCTTAGATCGATTTCCACTTGAAGGATTTAAACACGTGAAACTATTATTGTGGGTTTTCTTCTGGAATAATCCCAGCTGGTGCTGCATCCCTTCTTGGCAGGATTGGTCGGGTTAAACTGGTCAAAGTCAACTTTGAATGGAAATCCGTACGTCCACCAGGGTTGATGCTTACTGTCAGCCTGCTGGAACCAATCACAAACCGGTTCTGATGTGTTTGATGATCAGAAACATTTCTCTAGAAAATACTGGTCTGCTTCATGTGAACAGCTGGCTTTGAATGGGTCTTCTGGAGCAGCCCCGGAGATGGAAACACCGGTCCAGCTGGTTCCTGGTTGGTCCTGATCTACTTCACCAGTTTCCTACCACCTGAGGGGGGGTGGCTGGCTTTGCTTTAATGACCTTTACTCATAAAAAGCTGCTTAAACTGATGACTCTTTAGGAACGGCTGCAAAAGATTTGTGCCATTTGTGAGAATCTATGATCCTCTTTCCGAAGACATTCCCTCCATTTCCTGGACTTGTTGCTTTCTCTAATAAGTCCTGTCTAACAAATGTCTCCTTGGGCTGCAGCAGGAAACAACACGCTCCTGTAAGTCATCATCACCATCAAGGAGTGAGTCAAAGACATTATTTTGCCTTTTTTGTGCGTCAGCACCATTTTATAAAAGGTTTAAAAAAACTTGACTGAGAAACCTTTTTAATGATTATTTCTGATTATTATCAGTCACTCTGAGTGTTTCATGCAGGCTGAACATGAGAATAGTCTCCTACACCTCCCTCCTGCTGTAGCTTCTGATGGAAAACAGACGGTGAAACTCTAGGATTAGAAAATCCCGACAGATCTACGTCACCCTGTCACTAACATTCATGGACTCACGACGGGGAAGGCTGTTGTTGGTTCAGCGTCCAGGAGACAGCAGAGAACACATCGGGTTGTAGAAGCTAACCATTAGCATTAGCAACTCCACCACACAGCGGAACTCCTCCAGGCTTGTGTTATTGGTGGAGCAGAGCAAACAGAGTCAGTGGTAGAGTCGTGTTCTCCCGCTCGTGTGTGTCACAATCTGCTCCTGCCTCCCTGACCGTGACTCTCGCCGGCCCCTTGTTAACCGGCCCGTGTGTTCCTGATTCCCCCCGTGTGTTTATACCTCCCTTCTTGTATCAGTCATCGTCGGATTGTTGTCGTTTGTCGTGTTGATCTCGTTGTTCCTGCCGTTCCCTGTCATTAAACCCATTTTTACTTTATCCGTGCCTGCATTCCTGCCTCCTGGTCAGCTCCACCACACACGGTCCTCCGCCATCCACACCTCAACATGACAGTGTGGATGAATCTGACACATGTGGAAGCTAATGTTGTTTGCTTTGCCTCATGTGAGATACGTGGCTTTGTTTGGTAAATGCTGATCTAGCCAAGCGGGCGTGTACGGTTGGGAATTATTGTAATAAAGCACCGAACATCCTGTGCTGGTGAGGCTATCAGTTCTTAACATGTGGCTGTGTGATCTCCAAGTCTAACCTATAATGCTACGAGCTCAGCTCTGATCTGGCTCACGTGTAGTTCCTGAAAATGGTGCACCGGAGCTTTTTTTCTCCCTGTCGATGAATTAAAAGTCATGCTTTCCTACTAGAGACCACTGCAGATGTATTAAAAATAGGACAAAATTTGACCTTAAAGTCACAAACTGAAGCGATGATGATGGCACACCTGATGATTAACGAGGAATGAAAAGCATGTGTGAATAATTTTAGCAAACAGAGAAAACACGTGTGCGTTTCTACGCCATAACCCGGAAGAGTCCAGGATATTTTTGCTGTAAAATTTAAATGATAACACTAAACATTTGTTGATGTTTGGAGGCTCCGTCTGGAGCTTGGCTGTCAAATCTGACAACATCAGAAATCCTCCATTTTCACTCTGATGAGGACGTTTCTGAATCACAACCAAAACAATGTTCTTTTTCCTGTTTCCACCCTCCGAGATCTGCTGCATCCTTACACCAACACGGAGAAGCAGAAAAACAAGCAGGATGTACTGTTTGCGCTAAAGTGGCTGTAACTGTGTCTGGAAGCCAACTTAAAGTTTCACGTGCTTCAAATTGGATCAAAACAACAGTAATGGTCTCTGTTGCCACGCAAGACACAGAGCTTTTGGCCTCGACCGGCCCATTAAACAACAACGATGATATCATAGGGTCATGGCGCTTTTGAGAATCCACGCTGCTGATCAATAAACCTGAGGAGCTAACGGGCTTATTGGATTTCTCTTGACCATGTCTGTGGCAGAAAGCTCTCAGCTTTCTCCATCATTTTCTGTGGTCCCTCCCTGAAGTCATGACATCAGCCCTGCAGCCTTCCCCACTTAGGAGGACAGAAATAAATAGCCTTTCTCCAGTGCAGAGATCTGACGACGACACAGGGATGTCGCTATGAAATATTCATCTGAAACCACTCACGCAGGAATGCCACAGATTTACTCCTGTTGGCGCCCGAGTGACAGATGGTGGAGGTGACAACAGCGTAGAGCTAGAGATGCATTAAAACATCTTTGTCCATGTCCATCACACAAAATACAAACATATTCTCTTCTGTCAAAAAATTATATTTTTATTAGACAATCATCTTTCATCTAATGTGAGGAAATATTCGGGGTGTCATTCATACACGTATTGATACTGCTCAGATTGTAGGTGTTGTGGATGAAACCTAGGGACTGACCGTCTACATTTTACTTCAATGATGACTGAAGCTAACCTTGTTAGCTTTGGCAGCCATCTTGAACTTGGTTTGCTCCAACAGCTCATGCAACATGTGTTGCTCATCAGTTGTAGATGTACATGGTGTCTTCCTTCACACTACTTTAACAAAAATGTAAATGGGATTTTCTTGCCAAATACTCTGTTTCTTTACTTAAAATATCAGGAGCAGCGCCGCATCTCACCTACAAATTTTAACAAAGATGTGATCAATTAAAAATTAGCTCATAAGAAAGACTGCCAGCTGCCAAAATGTATCTCCATGTGTTGATGCTTTTATGTTTCTAAACAAAGAATGTGCTATTACTACTAGTTCATTTGTTGTGTGTGTGTGTGTGTGTGTGTGTGTGTGTGTGTGTGTGTGTGTGGGTGTGTGGGTGTGTGGGTGTGGGTGTGTGGGTGTGGGTGTGTGTGTGTGTGTGTGTGTGTGTGTGTGGGTGTGTGGGTGTGTGGGTGTGGGTGTGTGTGTGTGTGTGTGTGTGTGTGTGTGTGTGTGTGTGTGTGTGTGTGTGTGTGTGGGTGTGGGTGTGTGTGTGGGTGGGGGTGTGGGTGGGTGTGTGTGTGTGTGTGTGGGTGTGGGTGTGTGTGTGTGTGTGTGTGTGTGTGTGTGTGTGTGTGTGTGTGTGTGTGTGTGTGTGGGTGTGGGTGTGGGTGTGTGTGTGTGGGTGTGTGTGTGGGTGTGTGTGTGTGTGTGGGTGTGTGTGTGTGTGTGTGTGGGTGTGGGTGTGTGTGTGGGTGTGTGGGTGTGGGTGTGTGTGTGTGTGTGTGTGTGTGTGTGTGTGTGTGTGTGTGTGTGTGTGTGTGTGGGTGTGTGGGTGTGGGTGTGGGTGTGGGTGTGTGTGTGTGTGTGGGTGTGGGTGTGGGTGTGTGGGTGTGTGTGTGGGTGTGTGTGTGGGTGTGTGGGTGTGGCCCGGAGGACAGAGGACAGGAGAACGTGCAGCTACTTAATAAAATAATGTGGTTCTGTAGCTTTCTCTTCAGCACAGCCGACAAAGGTTTATGATGGGTCAGTCCTCCTGCATGCTCAGATCATTCCCTTCCCTTGCTTGAAAAATTGTTCCTAAATGAAAGTTGAACCCACATCTTTTTTATCTGTGAATTCAATGCCGTTCGATGAGTCTCAAATAAAAATTTGGGCATCTTACTGTAAAAAAAAATACCATTAGTGTAAAAAATAAACTCTAAATAAATTATGTTCACATCCAGAATCGAACCCATCGTCTTCCTAAGTGAGCTAAAGCACCTATAACGTCTTCTGTATCTGTAGCTTTTATATCCTTGATGACAGCTGAAACAACGTTCAAAGAACGGTTCGGAGTGAAAATGGCTATTTTGTTGCTAATTAGCAGGAAATCTCTAGAAGAAAGTTCTACAGAAAGTAGCTAAGGGTCCTCAGAAATGTAGCTAGCTTTGTCACTAGGAGTTAGGAACAGCGACAAAGTGGCACTGCCTCTCTCTCTGCTGCTAAAGCTACGGATAGCAAATGCTACGGGCGATGCCTGAGCGTGAGCGCGCATGAAGCAGCCTGCTCGACCCGAGCATCTCTCTTTTTCTGTGATTTTACACAAAAACAGGCAATCACAGTAAAAATGCCAGGGCTCATTCTACAGGACCAGGGCGTTGCAGGAGAACGTATGAAGAAGACATTTATTATTTCCATGCATGTTTTTGCTGTCAAACCTCCATAACATCCCTTTAAACTTAATTGAGTTGAGTTGAGTTGAGTTGAATTGAATTGAATTGAATTGAATTGAATTGAAATGAATTGAATTGAATTGAATTGAATTGAAATGAACTGAATTGAAATGAAATGAATTGAACTGAATTGAATACAAGCTAGGTTTTGAATGCAAACATTATCATGCTATGGGTGACAGCCCAGCCACCAGGAGCTCGTCAGTGTGCCCCACCTGCAGGCCTGGTTCCAGAGGGAACCACCTTGCACCTCATAAATTACTGATTAGTTAAATCAATATAAAGTCGTCTTGTTTCTTGTTGACCCTACCAGAGGCATAAAGCCTCAGACAACTTAGCTCCCATTGTTGGGACCTCACATTCCTCCACCAAGGTGGCAGCCCAGTGAGGGGCATGGAAATTTGCCCTTGCAGCTTGAATCAGCTGAGCAACCTTTTTAGATCATCTTTATTAACAGACACAGTTTAAGATAGCATGCATAAATGATAAATAAAGTTAAATTATGATCAAATAAATGAAAGATAAAATAAATAAAGTAACAGACAATGTTTAAACCACACATGGGATCTAATCAATCCAATAAAATGATGCTGTAACCTTCATCTTTTCAACATGAATTTATAAGATTACGTTCTGACTGTGGGACGGACACAAGCACGCGCCCAAAGGTAAAACCACTGAGACAAAGAGAGCGTCACGTCACGTCTCAGCGGCTGAAACATGATTTCTAAACATCTAAATCCCGCAAACTCAGTTAGTGATCATCTTGTTGGAGAAAAATAAACCATTTTTATTTATTGACATAATTAGTTCTGCCACATGTGGACAAACTGTTGCAACCCGCAACCAAACCTGTTCATTCTAACACGGGTAACGCGTCCCTGGTCCACGAAGCTGCTGTCCATCAGAACCACTGACCTTATAGGAGAAGTGATGGTGGACCGCCAGACTCAGAGCCTGCTTCTTCAGACCGACAAGAGCCGCGGAGCACTTCTCACAGCAGCCAACTTTCGCACCGGACCTCCCGGTCCCGGCCGGTCCAGAGCCTCTGCATACGGTCCCGCTGCCGAAGGACATCCTCAGGCGGGCTCCCGCTGATCCGGGCTGGGACTTGTAGGACGGGACACCGTCCGCTCTCTGTTCCGGTGTGGGCCGCCCCTGCTGGACCCCCTCCGCCCTCCTCTGCTGGCTCCCGGCGAGGCTGGGAGATAACTCCTCATGAACACGGAGGATGGGCTCTGGCTCGGGGAAATTAGATCTGAGTAGACGCGGACAACTGTAACCACACCCTGATGGGTTTTTTCATGCAGTGCAACATGATGCTCACATTAAAACTCCGCAGCATCCTCCTCGCGTGTCACCAAGTGTCTGACTATCATAATAATATAATAGCTAATAATAAATAAACGTCTCCTCTGGGCTGGAAACCTTTCCCCTCCCAGATGACAGGAGAACTTGTAAATATTAGAAAAGGTGTGGAACAAAAGCAGGGAGCGGTTTTATAGCTGAAGCTCTGAGAGTATAAACTAATCCTGCTGAGTCGTGTCAGGTTTTGGGTACAACTCTGCGAAAGTCGGACAGGAGGGGAAGAGATGACGGTGAGCTCAGAGGGACGGACGGAGAGTTCCGTGTAAGGCCTCAGGGGGGCGGTATTTAGCTACTGGTGAGATAACACTGAATATCTGAGTGAATTTTCTCATTCTTCTTCACAATAAGCAGCGCCTGATAAATAACCAGGACACATGCTTTTGAGGCAATCAAACAATTCCTGTAACTGTCAGTGAGAGGTCTGCACCTCTCAGCAGGTATTCTGGCCCACTCCTCACCAGCAAACGGCTCCAGTTCCCTCAGGTCTGAAGCGCCTTTTCCAGAGGGGTTTCAGCTCCTTCCAAAGACGCTCACTGTGACTGAGGTTAGGGTTCAGAATGATGTGCCATTCTTGGGTGTGTTCAGGGTCGTTGTCCTGTTGGGAGATCCATGACCTGCGACTGAGACCAAGCTTTCTGAAGCTGGCCAGGACAATTGTCTCTAGAACCCCTTGACAGTCTTGAGATTTCATCGTACCCTGTGCAGATTCAAGACGCCCTGACCAGATGCAGCAATGCAGCCCCAGAACATCATAGATCCTCCTCCATGTCTCACAGTAGGGGCAGTGCTCTTTACTTAATATGCTTCATTTTTCCATCGGTGAACATACAGTAGAGCTAATGTGCCTTAAAGTTCCATCTTTGACTCATCTCTGCGTGGGACTAGAGGCCGGCCGATATAGAAATATCGGGCTGATATATTCAATTTTCCTAAATCGGCTGCTGCCACTATAGACTGAAGAAAGGACCCGAAGGACCTCAGCACACTATTTTATTATGTTTATGATTTAATTTTATATTTGAAGATCAATAAATATTGACTTATTGATTTATTTATTTTATATTGCACACAGAGTATTCAGTTGTCTTCCACAATCAATGTGCTGCTAAAACGTATGTGTATCGGCCTTAATAATCAGTTTAAGGGGGCGATGGTGGCCCAGGAGTCAGGTGCTCACCCCGTAATCGGAAGGTTGCAGGTTCGAGCCCCGCTCAGTCTGTCGCTGCTGGTGTGTCCTTGGGCAAGACACTAAACCCCCCTTGCCTGCTGGTGGTGGTCGGAGGGACCGGTGGCGCCAGTGCTCGGCAGCCTCGCCTCCATCAGTGCGCCCCAGGGCAGCTGTGGCTACATCGTAGCTCATCCCCACCAGTGTGTGAATGTGTGTGTGAATGGGTGAATGACTGGTTGTGTTGGAAAGCACCTTGGGGGGTTCTAGGACTCTAGAAGGCGCTATATCAAATACAGGCCATTTACCATTTTTATTTTTAGATATTGGCCATCTGCAACGAAATTCTTTAAAAATCGATATCGGCATCGGCCTTAAAAAACCCACATCGGTCGGCCTCTACATAGGACATTCTCCCGGAAGCTTTGTGGCTTGTCACCATGTAGTTTGGCATTCCAGTCTGGCTGTTTATGATGTATTTCTAACAGTGGTGTCCTCCTCGGTCATCTCCTATGTAGTCCACGTTAGCTGATGTTCCTTGATCTTGAAGTTCACCTCGGGTCTTTTTGGAAGGTTTTCTGGGCTCTTTTGTTACCATTCGGATGATCCGTTTCTTTGATTTGTGATCGTTTTCCTCCTGCAGCCACATCCAGGGAGATTGGCTACCGTCCCATGGATCTTCCATTTCTGAATAACTGCAGTTACAGGAACATCGCTGCTTGGAGATGGTCTCATAGTCTTTCCCTTTAAAATGCTTGTCTATAATTTTCTTTCTAATCTACTGAGACAACCCTTTCCTTCACTTCTTCTGGTCCATGTTGAGAGTGGTACACACCATGCCACCAAACAACACGGTGACTACCTGAGCGCCATACAAAAGCCCACTGGCTGATTACAAGACTGTAGACACCTGCGATGCTAATTAGTGGACACGCCTTGAATTAACATGTCCCTTTATTTTCTAGGGATACCATAATTTTTGTCCAGGCCTGTTCCATGAGTTTATTTTAGAATATTATTCCATTTAAACTAGTGATGGGCAGATGAGGCCTCTGAAGTGCACATTACCCAAACTGTGTCACTATGTTAGTCTACTGACACCTGCTGGACCTTAAGCATCAACTCTGTCTTATACACTGCATTTGTTCCGTCCCCTCCTGGCCATCTAGGAGGATGAGGGGACAAACACAGTGGAAATAGGTGGATGGGTGTGACAGTGCAAATAGCGAGGTGAGAAGAGTAAAAGTTAAAAGGGTTTATTAACAAAGGGAGTCCTCTTAAAGGCTAACGATAACTAATGAATCCTTCTCTAAACCAAAGATGATCTAACTAAAGGTCCACAGCTATTCTAACGAAAACCCCTAAATCAGAATGATCCCCAGCTTTAAAGTCCTCGGGGAGAAATGAAATCAAAAACAGAGTCTAGCTCTGTAAAAAGACCAAGTCGGGCAGGATAAACGGTTAACGTCTAAACACAAACCTATAACAAGTCCAACATGGGCAAAGACTACGGCTAGTATAAACGAGTACACCGGCGTAGGAGGATCGCAGACTAGTTCTGGACCTCCTCGACTGTCTGCTGTGCTCCTCTTTTGAAGTCCTGTGGGCTGCTTGATGGCTGATTCAGATCAGCTGCTGCCTTTTTGGCGCGCCTCTCTCTCTAAGGTCCTGGAGAGTGAGTGAGCTGCTCTGGGAACTGTCCCAGGTGCTGAAAACTCGGCGGTGGGGACAGCAGGCTCAGGTAAGGATGACGAGGAGGGCCGAGGGGACGAGGGTCGTCACAGCATTATTTAATATCTTAATCCAAGCTTTAAATATCTTTGGTACATTTGAAATATACAATAATTAAACTTATTAGTATAAATTATACTTTAACCAGTATTTCGTCACTGGACATGGTGCTGGCTGGTCACTTCACGTATCGGCAACAAACCTGGTATCCGGACAGTTGGAAACCATGTTCTATTATTCCAACTACAACTTCCACACACTGGATGTCACTACGCTGGTGTTCCATATCCGTCTTTAATGTATGAAAGTTCAGTTGAACAAATGCAGCATATAACCTGCAGAAAATAGAATGAATGTTTTAAAAGAATAGTTTAGAAAAGAAATTCTGATGGATCAAGTAGAAACTGAGAGGAAACAAGTAAACAAAAACAAATAACTTATTTGCCTATATAAGGAAAAAAAATATCCTTTGAGGGCCACCTTCCATTTTCTTTCTGGCTCCATGATGTAACCGTGGAATCATTTAGGTCCAAAACATGAACTTCTGGCAGAAACTCATCTCGTGGACAGATGAAGACACTCCTACATTTAACACAGTTTGGTGCTTCAGTGGCAGGCGCAACAGCCGTCATATCGGTCATGTGACTACTTCTTCGTACCAAAGCAGGGTCTCGCTCTATGAGCTAGATACATTTGCCGACCCATCACTGGTTGAAAGGCAGTTTGCGTCTGTACATACATACATACATACATACATACATACATACATACATACATGCATACATGCATACATACATACATACATACATACGTACGTACATACGTACATACATACATACATATATACATACATACATGCATACATACATACATGCATACATGCATACATGCATACATACATACATACATACATACATACGTACATACATACATACATGCATACGTACATACATGCATACATACATACATGCATACATACATACATGCATACATACATACATGCATACATATATACATACATACGTACATACATGCATACATGCATACATGCATACATACATACATATATACATACATACGTACATACATACATACATGCATACGTACATACATACATACATGCATACATACATACATGCATACATGCATACATGCATACATACATACATACATACATATATACATACATACGTACATACATACATACATGCATACGTACATACATGCATACATGCATACATACATACATGCATACATACATACATGCATACATACATACATGCATACATGCATACATACATACATGCATACATACATACATACATGCATACATGCATACATACATACATGCATACATGCATACATGCATGCATACATACATACATGCATACATGCATACATACATACATGCATACATGCATACATACATACATGCATACATGCATGCATACATACATACATGCATACATGCATACATGCATACATACATACATACATGCATACATGCATACATGCATGCATACATGCATACATGCATACATGCATACATACATACATACATACATACATACATACATACATGCATACATACATACATACATGCATACATGCATACATACATACATGCATACATGCATACATGCATACATACATACATACATACATACATACATACATACATACATACATACATACATACATACATACATACATACATACATGCATACATACATACATACATGCATACATGCATACATACATACATACATACATACATGCATACATACATACATACATACATACATGCATACATACATACATACATGCATACATGCATACATACATACATACATGCATACATGCATACATACATACATGCATACATGCATACATACATACATACATACATACATACATGCATACATACATACATACATACATACATACATACATACATGCATACATACATACATACATGCATACATGCATACATACATACATACATACATGCATACATGCATACATACATACATGCATACATGCATACATGCATACATACATACATGCATACATGCATACATGCATGCATACATACATACATGCATACATGCATACATGCATACATACATGCATGCATACATACATGCATGTATGTATGCATGCATGTATGTATGCATACATACATGCATACATGCATACATGCATACATACATACATACATACATGCATACATGCATGCATACATACATACATGCATACATGCATACATGCATACATACATGCATGCATACATACATGCATACATGCATACATACATACATGCATACATACATACATACATGCATACATACATACATACATACATGCATACATGCATACATACATACATGCATACATGCATACATGCATACATACATACATGCATACATACATACATACATGCATACATGCATACTTGCATGCATGTATGTATGTATGTATGCATACATGCAGACATGCATACATACATACATACATACATGCATGCATACATGCATGCATACATACATGCATACATGCATACATGCATACATACATACATGCATACATGCATACATGCATGCATACATACATACATACATACATACATACGTACATTAGGGGTTGTATGAACTAGTCAACTAGTCGACTTCACTGCTCTGTAGTGACTTTTTATGCCGGTCATCGACTAGTCGCTGTCACGTGATAATGACCGGCAAGATGCAGTCCTCGGAAAAGACAGCAGGTGACAAGCTCCTGCGCGTCGGGAGGCGGAGGCAACGTGCTGTGCCAGAGCGTCGGTACTGACACCGGCGGTAAAACGGACATTTAACCAAACTGTGACCCTTTCCCTCTTGCAATTTAACCTTCCCCTCACCCCATCCTAACCTTAACCAGCTTGCACATGCAAAGCTCTGATCGGTGACGCGCTCCAGACATCTGCGTCCTGAGCACGGCCACAGTAACATTATCACATCAGGTGTCGCCACCTCAAAAACTAATTTAACACACGATTGTTCATGTCGGCTCATTTCCTTTCATGCTTTCTGTCTTTTATTCTTTTATTTGTGCCTGATGCGTTTCGCTGCTGTGGATCGGGGCGCATCACCTGTTTTGTCCTCCAGTGACACACCTCACTGATGCGGCCGGCGAGAACTCCGCTGTTTTTACGGTCGGTAGATCTTTTACAACTGCAGTTCAAAGGTAACTCATGAGGTGAATATATATGAACCCAGGTAGCAGTTTTTCTTTAGGATTGAGAGGAGATGCAGGAAGATAATAAACAGACAGGACAGAAAAATAGTCAAATAAAAACAAGTTAGGTTTTGTACCTGCTGGTTGCAACAAACAGACACCATTGAAGGTTATCAGAAGTGAGGAACAGAAAATGAAATAATTATTTTAATGTTTAGAGCAGCAGGAACTCCGAGAGGCTGCAGGCGCATCAGTGAGTTTGTGGCTGCTGTGCAGGGGGAGGGGGGAGAGGGCTGAAGCAGGATGCAGAAACTACCATTGTTAAAAGAAATGTGTTTAATGTAAAAAAATGAGGGCGCAATTTTAATTGTCAAAAACTCCAGTGAACCTATCGACCCCCCCCCCCCCTTTCAGGTGTATGACGTCATCAACGACTAGTCGAAGTTGACTCGATTTTCATTACTTGACTGTCGACTTTAAAAAAAAATTAAGTCATGCAACCCCTAACGTACATACATACATGCATACATACATACATGCATACATGCATACATACATGCATACATGCATACATACGTGGTGCCTTGCAAAGGTATTCATACCCTCTGAACTTCAACATATTTTGACCACAAACTTCAATATTTTTATTGATATTTTCTTTGCTAGATCAACATAAAAAAGCACATAAGTGTGAAATGAAACATGGTTTTCAAAAATTTTAAGCAAATAAAAATATGAAAGTGTGTTGTGCATTTGTATTCAGTCCCCTGCATAAATACTATGTGGACTCATCTTTTGCTGCAATTACAGCTGAATGGCTTTGGGGGTGTCTCTTTGGGTTATGTCCCTACCAGCTTTCCACATCTAGAGCCTGAATGTTTTGCCCTTTGTTCAAGCAGGCGCAATAAAGGTAGAGGCAACAAAACACAGCTTGAAGCAGATGTTGTGATTAGATAGATTATTGATAATGAGTTGTTATTAGTCTACCTGGTCATCTGTAAATGATGTAAGGGGTTTGACAGTCTTGTTTTAGGTGCCCCGTTTAAACTTGGGGCACCCGTCTCTCATCTCTGCACTGCCCTGTTCTTGTTCCAGTTTTAATACCGTGGTGGCTCTGGCTCGACTGTGCTGCTTTTAGGATCATTACGGTAGTGGTTAGCGCTCTGCTCCCCCTCCCGCCGCCGAGGCTGGCTCATCAGCTCCCTCTCCGTTGGTGAAAGGTTGGATCGCGCGTAACGTTTGGCGTCGTTTCGAGCAACATCTACTAACAAAGTGCACGTTATTGTTTATTTGTCGACGTATTTTAGTAGTTTGTCGTTAAACGTCCACAATGAGCACGATTAACGTGAAGAAGCTTAAAGTAAACGAGCTAAAAGACGAGCTCAAGAAACGAAACCTATCAGACAAGGGGCTGAAGGCCGATCTGATGGACCGCTTGCAGGCCGCGCTGGACGAGGAGGCCCTCGCTGGAGACTCGGCCGCTCAGGATGTGGCGACGGACGAGCAGGCCGCGGACATCCAGGAGGGTATGGGGGAGGAAGAAGAAGGCCCGGTAGAGGAGAGCATGGAGGCCAACGAGGGAGAAGAGCCGGCGAATGACGGCGACGGGAACGGTGTGTCGGTGGACGAGGAGATGGGTGAGGGGGAAGAGGAAGGTGACGAGGAGGACGAGATGGATCCCATGCTAAAGGAGGATGTAGACGACATGGAGAAAATTGACACAGAAGATGGTGAGCCCGGCGATCACGCTACTGAGGGTGAGAAGAAACAATACGCTATGAAAATGATTTGTTGGACGAACCGTGGCTGGGTGTCATTTTGTGGGGGAGGTGGGAACTGTAGCGTAGATTTGAATGCTTTTCCGTAAGGGAGGGGTAGCCGGTTGTTACCGCTTATCATGGCGTCCATGTTGAGTCAGTCAGCGTGATTCAGGCTAGTTAGCATTAGCCAACGCCTTGGTTACAATAATTTAAATGTACGATTCTCTAACCCAGTTTACCAACGGATAGTAGGTTAATTGACACGGACTAACTAAGGAACATGCTTATAAATAATTCTTAAGAAATTAATTTGTTATTTTTCTCTTGTGTCGCTTGATAGTAGCACGCTAGTTAGCATTGTTTTTCCTTTGTATCGGTCTGCGCTAGCTAGCCGTGTTAGCCATTTCAGAGGTTCCCATCACGCTTTAGTCGGTTTTCCTCTCGCCAAGGCTTCATCTGGACTACGTTTGATCAGCTCTAGTTCAGAACTACAGCACGTAGACGAGGCGGGAGGGGGCTAAAGTAATTCTTTAATACATATAAAAACTAAAACGTGTTCTGTTTTCAGAACAGGATCAGTTCTTACGTGCTCCAGTCGCAAAAACACAAATTACTGAAGACAATTTTAGTTTTTAGATTTTTTTAATGAGTGGGTCCAAACGTGGTCTAAATCCCCCATGCGTTACATTTTCTACCTCTGATCAACTAGGAGTGGCACACATTACTGATGAAGTTTTCTACAAGGACCGCTTCTGATCTGGTCCAGAGGTCAGCAAGGCACCAGAGTCTGTCACCTTGCTTCATATGACTGGTTCTGATGTGGTCCCGTTATCAATAACACTTTAGTCTTACTGAATGATTAACGGTTTCACAAACTCCATTTGGTAGCACTTTTAGCTTTTAGCAAGGTTCACATCCCAGCTCCAGCCTTTCTGCGTGGAGTTAGCTTGTTCTCCGCGTGCATGTGTGGGTTTCCATGGTTTCCTTCCACAGGTCAGTGCATGTCAGCTTCAAACTGTTAGTCCAGATGTCTGCGTGTTTTTGGGCTGGACCACTTTGAGTTGCCCATAAGAACTAAATTGTCCCAGTCTTGGACTGTATGTGATTGATTAAATGTTTAAAGATGAAATATTCTATCTAGTGTAGACGAGTGAAGTCCAGAATCGTGTTTAGCCGGATCAAAAGCCAACACTAGCATCAGGTCTGGTTATGAGGTGCAGATGTTTGAAGGAAGAGCCTCAGCAGGCTGATATAAAAGACCTGAAGCTGTATTTGGGTGTTAGTTTGGGTTATGAGCTTGGGAACCTCTGAACTTGCTAACCCAGCGCTTTGCAGAAGAACGGAGTGGCCTACAACTTTCCTGATACGTCCATCGTGTGTTTTCGATTTGAAATACAAGCGTGATATTAAAGGGTATACATACATTTTTATTTACATATCATCCTTTTCTTTAGCGGGGGGGGGGGGGGGGGGGGTGTCATTGGGCTTTAGGTAGGTTTCCCTGCATGGTTAACTCCCCCTGATGCAGTAGACCCTCATCTAGGACTAGAGGACTTGTATCTGAAGGGTTCTTACCCTTTCACGACCCCTTTTCCAGCCCCATCAAGCTCTGCTGCTGTTGTTCATTTGGACCAGTTTATGCTGTAATTACTACCTGGTCTTACCAGTTGTTACAAGTCATGTAATATGATTGTACTGTTTTAAATGTAACTATGAGGTGTTTCCTCTTGGTAATCATGCTAGACGCAATGTAAATAATGAACGGGCTTCGTGGGCCAGAACCCCACTGCCAGTCCGACCTCTCTCTCTCTCAAAAAGGAGCACCTCATTCTATATCTTTGTTCTATTTTCAAAGGAGATGCGGACAAAGACACGAATGCTGATCAGAAGAATAAGAAGGGTGTTAAGAGACGCCGGGAGGAACATGGAAGGGGCTACTTTGAATTTATTGAAGAGAACAAATACAGCTGGTAAGGATGGGACAGAGCCGAGGTGGCCTTCAGCATCCCTGAAGCGCCATCCAAGCTTTGTTGAACTGTATTGGCTTTAAGTGCCAATGCACATAACTAGCAAGAGGTAAAGCCTCGTTTGAAGTATTCTATCATATATTTATGATATAACCTTTCACACATGTGTTTGAGGGTCATCCCTGAATAGCTAAAGCCTTACCATTTACCTTTTTACACTCACATTGTGTCTTTAACGACTGCATTCTGTAGCAGAAGTGCATCTATCAATCTCATATCTGTTCCTCATGCCACCTCTTGTTCTGGAAAGCCCGTTGTATCCTCAAGGAGACTCCAGGCTGCTTTAGGAGAACCCAGCGACATTAGTAGAAGGGGGAGGGGTCGATGTGGGGGAGTATCCCAGAGGGGTGGGTTTGCGGGGACCACCGCTGAGCTAGCAGTGGAGGCGCTCACCGATCGCCCGTTGTTTCCGCCTCGCAGGTCTATCGATGTTTGTCATTTGTTGTGCATTTATCTCACTGGATGACTGATGTCCAGATGCTGTTTCTGTATCATGTGTGTGTGTGTGTGTGTGTGCGTGCACTTTTGCAGGACTGTTTCTACCCCTGCATAGGTGACATCATGCATGGCCTGTGTGTGTGTGTACATGAAACTATTACCGGTCAGTGTTTTGTTTTCATTGCGCTGCTGGCACACCGAGGATGAACGGGCAGAAGCTGAACGTAGTTCTGGAGGTTTTATTTGAACAAGGATTAAATCACCTCTACGGTGCCGAGAGTCTTCGTTCACCTGGTATGAACGGGATCCAGACTCGGCTGCTACACAGCGTGAGGACACCAGGGAAGGTTTCAGACACAGACTGGTGTTTCATAGATTCATGATGTCCAGTTTTAATTCTTAGTCTTGATTTAAAACACAACATGATCCAGCGGTCCCACACATCACATAGCAGCCCTGAGCTCGCACTCACCTGGACGATATTCACATCTGATCAACATCACGGGGCGATGGCGACGGTCTGTATCTTTCCCGTTTTAGATTTCTGCGGATGCTGCAGGGTAAGTCGGTTCCTGCCAGGGTTTGTGAGGCTCAGTCATGTTCTGTTTCCCTTTCTTAAAGCCCGTCCACTTCTCTCCTGTGATGTTTTTCAGCAAATGGTCCCAAAGAACATCAATGTGCTCCACTGTCACCCCCGCGTGAATCCTCTAATTTACTCGCTGCCGTCTTCTTTCAGTGCTTCGTTTAAGTCTCCGGTACCGCCCTTGGAGGAAGAGGACGAGGAGCTTGATGAGACCAAAGTCTGCCTGGACAGCTGTAAGAGTTGATGTTGGTGACCTGCAGGGACACGTTGATGCCGGTGTTGTTTACAGGAAGTTTGTGTTCTGCAGACAACTGCGACCTGCACTTCAAGGTGTCGCGGGACCGTTACAGCGCTTCGTCCCTCACGATGGAGAGCTTCGCGTACCTCTGGTCTGGAGGCAAGGCCACTCACGGTGTAAACCAAGGCAAGGCTTGCTTTGAGATGAAGGTAAGTCCTCTGCTGCTGCTTCCTGCAGCGCTGGTGTTTTAAACCCCGACTGGTGGTGTTGCTAGAGTCGTGTGTGGTGTGATTGCAGGTTACAGAGAAGATTCCAGTGAAGCACATATCCAGCAAGAACCTGGAGATTCACGATGTCCAGGTCGGATGGTCTCTGGCTACCGGCTCGCTGCTCCTAGGTCGGTGAAGCAGCTTGTGAAGCTACATGAGGGTTTAGCTTCTCACACCTGGCACCACATCTTCCATAAGCAGCAGCAGAACCTGTTTAAGCCGGTTTAACGACCAGCGGCGATAGGCCGAGCTGTCTTTATGCCTGTCCAGTCCGTATGTTAAACCCACTGTAGGGTTTCATTATGGCGCTGTGTGTGACATTCATCAGGGTCAAAGGTCACATTTTTACCAAACACACAGCTGCTAAACTGGATTTCGTGTCTTTTATTGTTGTTTTATCTTGTTTTTCTCTTAAATATAAATAACATCAGATTTAGCCTGGGAAGTGTTTATTTAGTCATGACGTCAGGCAGCTGCGGTCATGCGTGACCGACTCAACAGCTCCCTCTAGTGGGCTGTAAGCAACATAGCATGTTGGTGTGAATGCCAGCGGAGGTGAGTTGTGGCTGCTGATGGTAATCTGTTGGTGTTCAGGTGAGGAGGAGTTTTCCTTCGGCTACTCCTGGAAAGGCAAGAAGACGACCAACTGTGTGACCGAGGACTTCGGAGAGCCGTACGAGGAGAACGACGTCATCTGCTGCCTCATCGTAAGTCCAGATTCCTTTTTTAAAACTTCCAGACACACATTAGACCCATACCATGGTGTACGGTAGGGAAGGGCGTGACCCCTCCTGTGATTGGCTGGACGAGCCACTGCAGGCACAGAGATAGGTGAGTAGGCTGAGCTAGACTAGAAAAAAGTGGACGTAGTGCAAAAGAAGAGCAGCAGTGTCCTGGCATGGGACCAGCAACCTCCCAGAGCCCTGGTCCAGAGCTGCAGGAGTGTCCTGGCATGGAACCAGCAACCTCCCAGAGCCCTGGTCCAGAGCTGCAGGAGTGGGTGCTTTACCTCTGAGCCCCTATAGGGGGCGTAGGAAGATTGTTCTAGGGTTAGAACATTCACCACATCTTTCTAAACCAAAATGTCGCCTTTCCTCCTCGATTCAGGACTTTGAGGGTGAGGAGGTGGTGCTGTCCTTCTCCAAGAATGGTGGAGAGCCAGCTGTGGCCTTCCAGGTCCAGAAAGACTCTCTAAACGGCCAGGCCCTTTTTCCTCACGTCATCTGTCGCAACTGTGCTGTGGAGTTCAACTTTGGCCAGATGGAGACCCCGTACTTCCCTCAGCCTGAGGGCTACACCTTCATGCAGCAGATCCCCGTCGATGAGCGTGTGAGGGGTGTGAAGGGGCCTCAGACCAAGGCCGACTGCGAGGTGTGTGTGACGGACCTCTGCGGTGTGTGAATAACGGTGCGACTGACTAGAACCTGAGCAAACTGCCTGCTTTTGCAGATCATCGTGATGGTTGGTCTGCCAGGCTCAGGCAAGACCACATGGGTGAAGAACCAGGTCCAACAGAACCCTGGGAAGTACTACATCCTGGGAAGTGACACGATTGTGGACAAAATGATGGTGTGTGTGTGTGTGTGTGTGTGTGTGTGTGTGTGTGTGTGTGTGTGTGTGGCAGCTAGCTGGTTGGGTAGAAGTGGCTCTGTCCTTCCACTCATCTGTGTGTGTGTGTGTGTGTGTGTGTGTGTGTGTGTGTGTGTGTGTGTGTGTGTGTGTGTGTGTGTGTGTGTGTGTGTGTGTGTGTGTGTGTGTGTGTGTGTGTGTGTGTGTGTGTGTGGGTGGTTTAAACCAGATCAACAGCCTGAAGCGCCAGTCCAAGGACATCACCAAGCTCAGCACCATTTCCCAGAGAGCGCCTCTCTTCCTGGGGAAGTTCATCGAGATCGCCGCCCGCAAGAAGAGGAACTACATACTAGACCATGTAAGTGGGCGGTCGTGACGACGCTGTTTTCAGGGTTGGTGCGCGTGTGTGTAACTCCTGACTGCTTCCTTCCAGACCAACCTGTCTGCACCCGGCCAGAAGAGGAAGATGTGTCTGTTTGCCGGCTTCAAGCGTAAAGCTGTGGTGGTCTGTCCGTCTGACGAGGAGTACAAGCAGAGAGTCCAGAAGAAGGTGGAGAGTGACGGCAAAGATGTGCCGGAGCACGCTTTGCTCAAGATGAAAGGTCCGCGTTATTTCACCCACAAGTCTTTTCTTTAGTCTGGTGTCTGACTCTGTCCTGGTTTCCTCCCTGCGCCCCTAACCCTCACCAGGCTTCTTCGCTCTGCCGGAGGAGGGCGACAGCTTCAGCGAGGTCGTCTACGCTGAGCTGCCCAAGGCGGACGCCGCCAAGCTGCTGGACCAGTACAAAGAGGAGAGCAAGTCGGCCCTGCCCGCCGAGAAGAAGCCCAACCAGGGGAGCACGGCGCCAAAAAGGGGCGGTGGCCCGCGTGGTGGCGGCCGGGGAGGCAAGAACCAGTTTGGTCGTGGTGGTGGACCTGGACAGAGGGGGGGGGGTCGTGGAGGCTTCCAGAACAGAGGCAACTTCAGAGGAGGTAGGTCTTCAGGAGAGTGGTGCATGCTGGGAGTTTAGTGGAATAGCTAACTGTATCGACGTGTCCACAGCTCCTGGCCCCCGTGGTGGCTTCAGCCGTCCTCCTCGTGGCTTTCTGCCTCCGCCGGCCTTTAGGGGGGGGTTCCCCAACCGCGGCAGCTTCAGCCGTGGCGGCGCCCCCATTCCCAGTCTGGGAGGCTCTCCAAGAGGCGGACCAATGAGGGGTAACATGGGACACAGGGGCGGACCCATGAACCGTGGGGGTCAGATGAACAGAGGAGGCGGAGGCAACATGAGTCGGAATCCAAACCGGGGTCATCCCAGCCAGGTGGGCGTGGTTCTCCGGGTCTGCTGCGTGGCTGCAAGCGTAAATATCTCAAGTCATGTGTGGCTGTGTTCTCCACAGTTCCAGCCCAGAGGTGGTAACCGTGGCAACTTTGGCAACAAGAACAGCTTTGGGAACAGCAGGAACAGTGGGAACTTTGGCAACAGGAACGGCATGGACAAGGCCCAGGCCTTTAACCAGAGCTGGCAGCAAGGGGTCAGTGGCCTCCTGCACCTCATTAATGATTCATGAGCAGAAAGTAATCCGTCCTGTTTGTCTGTGATCTTTTCCAGTTCTGGAACCAGAAACGCTGGAGCCAGCAGTACCAGCCCGGGTACTACTGAGACTCGTTCTAAGGGACTGGTGGTCGACACTGAGAACCCACCGTAGCCACGGAAACCACCCCGCCCCACCCCCTTTAGTCTGTTTTCTTTAGAGTCCCCTTTTAACCTCCTGAAGCCCACGGAGACCGGAGCGAAGCGGAGCTCCATCCTTCCATCAGGGAGCAGCACGAGGGTCGGGTTCAGCGTCTTTATGGTTTTCTTTAGGTTTGCTCGTCCCTCCTCCACGTTTAACCCCCTGCTCTCAGAGAAAACCTCTACCCGCAGGAGCAGAAACCCTCCCCGTGGCGTGTTTTCGTTTTCAGGGTTGTGCATTTTATCTGTGTTGTGATTTTTGCTTTTTTATTATTACAAATTGTAAATATTGTTTTTTATTAGTTCTGTCGGACGTTTGAGACGTGTGTTCTGATCAAGACAAATGTGGGTTCCTTCGCAGAACCCAGGATAAATTATAGCTGTTAATCTGATGCGTTACAGGAAGCAGGTCATTTACAGTTGGTTGTTTTACTTCCTTCATTCAAATCTGTAATAAACGTCATAGACCTACAATAAACTCTCCTTTGCTTTTCTACTTTCTGACGTGTGAGTTGTAGTTTAGCTCTAAGGCTTGTGGACGGGCGCCTCGTTGGCGTGTTTCTGCTTATGAGAAGGTTTTCCTCCATCCTCCCCGTCACACTGGAGCTCTGGTTCTACGCGCTTCAGGAGACGCAGGGTTTGGGTTTGCTGCTTCCTGTAGCGCTGTGTGAGTGTGACCCGAGCTGACCCGACGCCGCTTCAGCACCGACACTTCCTCACCAGCGAACTGCACAGTGTCCCCACGGCTTTCCAGCAGCTTCTGGACCTTTCTAGCTGCGTTGTCTCGGTGACTGTGTGGCTTTGGGGCAACGGCCGCTCCCTATGGCAGCAGAAACATCCTGCTTTACCTCCTGCTGGGCTTTAGACGCCTGTAAATACCCCACTGGTTATTCATGCATGTGTTCTGTGACGTGAAGAGAAGCTGGAGTCCATGTCCGTCCTTTTCTCTGCCGTGTGTAAACCCTTAAGGCCGACAGCTGGTGGTGTATTTTTATGACGGTGTTACAGGTTTACAACAATCAGGTCTCAATAAATAACTCCAACATTTTAAGACCTTTTGAGATTTTTTACTCTTATTTTGGCGTGAACAGCATCACTGCCGCTGTGTCTCGGTTTACAGTAAATGTTTATTATAAAGGAAATGACATCACTATTGTAAACCAATACAGAACAGCAGAGGCATTCACTCCCTTGCTAATAGAACATTAAACCCAACATCAGAGCACTTCTGTGTTTGTAGTAAAATTCTGTATGAACCATGATTCCATAGATTTTAATTGTTATTTTTAGAGTCAAGATGGCTGCCAGTGGCCCAAGTAAATCTGTTGAATCCTCCAAGCCAACCAGTTGTAGATGTAGATCAATCTAATGAAAATGTTTGATCTTCATTCGATTTACTTCAAAAGGAAAGCAAAGTTCTCCTCTGGCGCTGGTCTGCTGGCTCTCCACCAGTGAACATGGTCAGCTCAGACTGGGAGACCATCTAAAGGCTCAGGAACCCTCTGCAGGTGTTCTGGATCCATTAACTGATTATAGTGGGACACTTATATTGAACCTTGTCATAATATAATTGCCTAAGATTCTGAATGTGTTTTTTTTTCTTTATTTCATTTATAGTAGAAAAAGAAAAAAATCAATACTAACAATAAAATGAGGTTTCTCAAACCAAGAAAATAAAAAGGGAACAGAAAGAAGAAAATGTATTTTCTGCCCCTTTTTAACTAAAATGACATCTTTAGACTGAAATAACAATAATTATAAATGAGCTTATACAAAGTAATGGCTCGACTGGTTAGCTAACTTGAGTTCAATTTTTAAAGAAGAACGAAAAACTTAATAGCAATAATAATTCAAAAAGCAACAGGATTTTTGCACATATACCTATTCATACATATATACATTAAAGTGCATCGCACGCCCATATGGTCACACATACTTCATCTCTACATATACATATAGATGTACACACGTATCCACTACATACGCAAGCATACATACATATTTACACATACACACATGAACATACCTACTCACATCTTCTATAGCTTTATTTATTTATTTGTATATAATTGATTTGCACATATATGATTCCAGTATTTCATTTTTAATTCGTTTTTGAAAGTAAATATCGTTTTCGTATCCTTGATTACATTACCTAGCTTATTCCATACTTTAACTCCATATGTAGAGACACAGCGCTCATTTATAATTATTCTACACTTAGGTATTGTAAATAATTCATGTGCTTTTTTTTTGCAATATATAGATAGAATTAGTATAACTTTTATATGTAGTGTCCCAGATTTCTATACAATAGTTCAAATATGGTGCAATAAGTGAATTATATAATACATATAGGGAGCTATCATCCAGTGACCATTTTACTCTATGTAACATTGCAATTGTTTTAGCTATTTTAGTTTTCACATTGTTTATATGTGGCTTCCAACATACATTTTCATCGATTATAACTCACAAAAATGTTACTTCTTTTACTCTTGTAATATTAATATCATCTGTATTTAATAGGCTTGTATCATTTGAGTTACTTTTACTAAATATCATGAAACATGATTTATCAGTGTTTAATGAGAGTTTATTCCCATCAAGCCATAATTTTATGTTTTTCATCTCAGTTTGTACTGTTTCTACCATCTGTTTGATATTATCTCCTGCATAATAAAAGGTAGTGTCATCTGCAAATAGAACACATTTTAATATATTTGATATTGAGGCTATATCATTTATATACATAATAAATAGTTTCAGACCCAGTACTGACCCTTGTGGTACCCCACAAGTAGTATCACGTAGATTTGATTTAATGCCATTTATTTGTACATATTGTTTCCTATCATTCATTTAACTTGTTAACCATTTTAGAGCCATTACTTTGATACCATATTTACAAAGTTTTTTAAGAAGAATTTCACGATCTACTGTATCAAACGCTTTTTTTAAATCAATAAAAATACTTATTGTAGGAGCCATATGTGTCATTTCTTTTTGTGCACTTGAGAGGAGGCTTGGCCTCATGTTATTGGTTAATTGCTTGTGGAAGCACCAGCCTACTTAAGCCAACACAGATTGGACTCAGGTGTGGCTGGATGGGACAAACAGTTTTTTATTGTGTGGCGAGGACTGTGGCTGTGTGTAACGGACTCTTCGGACTGTCATTG